ACCAAGACTCTGTTCATTGAATCGTGGTGTGACGATGAACGCATAATCGAGGAGAATGTTCGAAGGGTCAAGATATCCTCACCCGACGTACGTGTAGCTACAATGGATCCCCGAATCTGTCGCACATACTCACCCTTGGCAGTACGTAGGGTGGTCTTCAGAAGACGCGGTCAAACATTATTTGACCAGGATAGCTGCCCGTATCCCCCAGTTCCAGACCATGGAAGAGACGGACCTCAATTACATCAAGGTATCTGCTGTATCCTGCATGAAGGGGCCTTCTTTCGCTAATTCCCCACTAGATGATCAACGCAGGTGAACGTTTGATTGTAAACAACAAAAGCTTTGGTTATCTCTCTAATCGGATTGTGTTCTACCTCTTGAATCTCCATATCAAATCAAGACACACATATTTCGCCAGAGTGAGTCTGCCCGTTGCGACGCATATTGGCAGGGGAGTATTTAAATGACTGACGGAAATTTGTGCGACCAGGCTGGTGTTTCACTGGAAGCAGGCTCATACAAAGCAGATGCCTCACTGTCTGAGCAAGGGGAAGAATACGCCAAAAAGATGACAGAATGCTTGCTGCAGCACAGGGAGGCTGAAAGACAGGCTATGGCCGACCAAGGGGAAAAAGACTATGAACTGAAGCCGCTGACAGTCTGGACATCTACACGACGGAGGACAGTTGAAACCGCCAAGTATCTTCATGAGAAAGGATACAAAGTACGGCAACGATCACAAATGAGCCAGTTAAACCCCGGCGTATGCGAGATGATGTCGGAACGGAAGATCCGTCAGGAGTATCCGGACGAGGTGGCGAAGCATGATCTTGACCCCTATCACCATCGTTACCCTCGAGCAGAGGTAGGTCGTGTCGTTGTTTTCGTTTAGCCATGGGAATCTCGAAACTGACTAGATTGGTAGTCCTATCATGACCTTGCGGTGCGGCTGGAGCCGATTATTCTGGAGCTTGAGCGTGAGCAGAATGATCTCTTGATCATTGCGCACGAAAGCGTACTAAGAGTTCTTTATGGATACCTGATGGCATGCAATGCAGCCGACATTCCATTCCTGGAATTCCCACGGGACGAAATAATTGAAGTGAGGCGATTGTTACAGGTCTAATGGCGTTGAACACCCCAGCTAACTGATTTACTTCAGATAATACCCGAAAGCTATCAGAACGAGGCGCGTCGAATCCACATCCCTGGTCTACCCAAAGAGATCATTCCTGGCTCACCCGAAGACATCAAGATTCCCGTCCCACCGAGTGGGATGATGACCCCGCTGGCTGGGGGACTTGGAAGCCCAAAGGAAGGCCTCGCAACGCCGCAGAGCGGCCTTCGAACTCCTCGGGAGCCCGAGAGGATCTCACAGCAGCATGTGGAAGATGTTGTCTAGAATCGCATTCCATCTTGTATATAGAACCCCGCGACCGCTTGCCCGTAGGAGTATCGTCGGTACGATTGTGAACGTAGACAGTCATTAGCGCTAGCCCCCATGAAGCGTAGAAACGAAGACAATGTTATCGTTTTGTTGAAGTTCGTAGTTCTCCTCGCCTTCGAGCTCCCAATCGGCGTCGTTGATAAGAACCAAGATTCCCGGTCGACTGTTCGCCCAACGTCAGTGTTCTTGCCTTGCCGTGTATTCCCATACGGTGAACGTACACATTGCCTTCCAGTATGAACAATTCCTGCCTCTGATCCTTCATGTAGTTCTTCACCAGATGACCCAGGAGGTAGCTGATAGTTGGCCGGCTGCCGTCGTCAAGAAGCGAAGGTAGCGTGACGTGGTGTTTGCGCTCATTGGCAAACAAGATCTCCAGACCTCCCCTGTTTGCGAAAGCCGAATCAGTAATGAGTGCAAACCTGGGGTGCTTGCATGATATGGGTGAGAGCCGAACGTGAACTCAACGGTGATAGCAATGGAGCCGGAGCCATCTTTGCCCAGATCAGGGGCTCCAGAATTCGTGGCCATGCTTATCTATCGAAGGAAATGTGTACAGCCGATGTCCTAGTCAATATCAAAGTGAATTGGGGTAGCCGTGGGATCGTGAAGGCTCGTGGACAAGACCTAGAAATTGCGACGAGGATGGAGATGGAGGGGTTGGCAGACGACGGGGTCCGGATTTCTCGCTGCTTATCGATAAGCCGCCCAGTTTGCCGGCACAAAAAGTCGGCTGGCTGTGCGATCCATCTGAACATGGTTGGTTGGTGACGAACAACCACGCCCCTCGCTCCTACTTCTTTGTCGGTCTGTGGCTCTATCAGCCTACTTGATTTCCTTCGGAAACACCTGGACTTAATTGCTCGAACTTCCGACCTGGACGAGCTTCATGGTCTCCATCACGACCGAGTACATCAGCGTCGGGGGCAATAGGCATCCCGCCGCCGCTGACTGGGACGTCCAGTCAGGCGTGCTTGCCTTTGGCGCAGATAACAATGTTGCTCTCTGGGATCCCCGAGTAAGTTACTCCTCAAAGGTTTGCTTGGTTACTTTCAAGATGGTGGTGGTTGATGCTGATGGTGGGGCCTTGGGTGATGATGTAGGAGAGCTCGCAGCGCGGGGTCTATTCGCTTCTTGTCGGCCACACCGACAAGGTCAGTGTCGTTCGGTTCTACACATGCCCTTTCACCGGCACGAAACTTCTCTTGACTGGTTCTGTTGATCATACGGTTCGGTTATGGCGCCCCAATCCAGTAAATCCCCGCCAGTTCGTTCACGCGCATACTTTGGAAGGACATACCGGCTCAGTCAATACTATCGCCGTAGCTGAAGGATTAGACATTATCGCATCGGGCGCAGCTGATGCTAGTGTAAAGATATGGAAGATCAGCGCGCAGGGGGAGCCAAAGGGCGAACTCTTGAAATCCATCCCCATGAAGCCACGCTTCTTTCCGTTGGCTTTGGCATTGACCCCGCTCCAAACGGAGTCGAATGATAGACCTGTGGCTTTCGCGGTGGCAGGGACCACCAACATTGTGCAGGTATATGCAGCAGAGAACACTCTTGTCGACCCCGATTTCAAGCTTGCGGCTGTGCTGTCCGGACACGAGGCGTGGGTGCGCTCCTTGTCTTTCACATCGGATAAGCAAAGCAAGATGGGCGATTTGCTGTTGGCCTCGGCAAGCCAAGACAAGTATGTTCGACTCTGGCGATTCCAACGTGGAGAGGTTACCCAGGCCACGCCGGCGTGTGATGATGATCCTATGCTGGGTGGCTTCGAGCCCACGCTATCGAATAAGGCGCACCAGTTCACCGCGGCGGGGACCAAATACTCTGTTACATTCGAAGCTCTCTTGTTCGGAAATGAGGATTGGATTTACACGACTGCGTGGAACCCTGACCCGGAGCGCCAGCAACTCCTCACTGCATCGGCAGACAACACATTGACCATTTGGGAACAAGATCCGGTTTCGGGAGTGTGGCTTTCTGCCGAAAGAATGGGAGAGATCAGTGTTCAGAAAGGTTCCACTACAGCTACTGGTAGTACTGGTGGGTTCTGGATTGGTCTTTGGGCCCCAGACGGCAAGCAAGTCGTGAGTCTGGGCCGCACTGGAAGCTGGCGCTCGTGGAAGTATGATGCGGAAACCGATATGTGGGCGCAATCCTTGGGTATCTCAGGGCATGTGCGGTCAGCCAACGGGGTCCAATGGGAGCCTACTGGAGGATATCTCCTGTCGACAAGTGCGGATCAAACGACACGTCTGCATGCTCAGTGGCTGCGTGATGGACTGAAGTCATGGCATGAATTTTCACGACCTCAGATTCATGGATACGATTTGAATTGCGTGGATACCCTGGGCCCGGCTCGGTTCGTGTCCGGCGCGGAAGAAAAGCTACTGCGAGTATTTAACGAGCCTGCGCCTATCGCACAGCTCCTAGAGAAGCTTTCGGGGTTCAAGCAGACGACCGAAGGGGAATTACCGGACACGGCACAGATTCCCGTCCTAGGATTGTCTAACCAGGCCCCGGCCGATGATGCGCCTACAGGTGAAGATGGAGTAGAGGGCGAGGAAGTTGGCAAAGCTCAGGCCAATCAGGCGCTTTTGGCGGAATCAGAGCAACCGCCATTGGAAGACCAGCTCGCTCGCTACACATTATGGCCAGAGCATGAGAAGCTGTATGGTCACGGGTACGAGATCTCAGCCGTGGCCGTCAGCCACGACCGCACACTTATTGCCACCGCTTGCAAGGCGAGCTCGATTGATCATGCCGTGGTGCGTCTGTACGACACGTCAGACTGGCACGAGATTCGTCCATCTCTTGCCGCGCACACCTTGACCATTACTAGTCTCGCCTTCTCCAGTGACGACCAGTACCTTCTGAGTGTCGGACGTGACCGGCAATGGGCTGTTTACGAACGCAGCGAACAGGACCCCTCTACTTTCTCCCTTCTAATTTCGAACCCGAAGGGTCATTCCCGAATGATCCTCGATGCCGCATGGGCACCTGCGTCGGGAAAGCCCATCTTCGCAACCGCCGGCCGGGACAAGTCAGTGAAGCTGTGGCAGAAGACCGAAGGCTCCTTTGAGTGCAAATCCACCATCCCGCTGACAACGCCTGTCACTGCACTGGCGTTCCTTCCGCAGATATACAGCAACTCCTTCTTCGTGGCCACGGGCGAGGAAAGCGGAGCAGTGTCTGTCTACCGAGTCGCAGTCGACAGCCTGGAAGCCAGCCAATTGTCAAGCATCGATAAGCTTGCATCTCCTTCGAAGGCGATCACGCAGCTGTCCTGGCGGCCGGTACCGGATGTAGATACACGGGATTTTGCACTGGCGGTAGCAAGTGAGGACACTTCAACTCGTATATATAGTTTCTCGGACATGGTCTCATAACCAAAAAGGCCGTATATGTACAGAACCAAAAATAAATGGGCAGAAAAACGAAGTTATAATACCATGGGTTGAAATCGTGCACAAATGTTGAAAGCCCGGACTCCTTAAATGTTGAATATATCCCTTCCGGGTCCTGAAATCCTTCTAGAAACACAAATAGTTGAATGATGCTCCGAACCCCTGCCATGCATATCCAGTATAGTGGTTGTTGAACCAATCATGTTGAACGATGCCAAAGAAAGAACTTAATAAGAGCAGATGAAACAGGTGAAAAAGCAGATGGGATTGAGGAGAGGCGCACTCGCATGTCATCACGCAGCAGGCCGCTTTTCCAAGCCATACCCGCCCAAACCCTCCAGCGACGGGTAAGTCTTAGCCTGACTGGTGGACCCATTTCTCGGACCCCTAGAATGCAAGTCCTCTTTGAGCCATTTCAGCACAAGCTCACCGAGCTGACTATTTTCGGAGGTCTCCTTAACCTCTTCGCGGAACTTCTCAATGGGACCCCACTGACGCACGCTTCCCAAATGCATATGGACAAGATGCGTAGGCCACAGCGACAAGTTATCCAAGATATGGGTCGCATAGACGATAGTACAGGGTCTGGTCTCAGTCTCACGCTTAAGAAAGGCCAGGAAATTGGAGCGAGAGAGGAGGTCCAAATCGACGGTGATTTCATCCAGAAGGAGGACTTGCCAGGGCCGGAGGAGGCCCATAGCTAGCTGGACGCGGCGACGTTCGCCGTCCGAAACGGCATGCATGCGCCAGCGGAGATCGATGTCTAGGATGTCGACGAGTTCATCCCGGCGGTCAGGGTATGCGTTGCCGCCGACGGAGGCGAGGAGGGTAGGGACGTCGATGTCGGTGCGGACGATGTTGTTGAGAACCCATTCCATGCCGAGGTAGGTTACGCCTTCCAGGCCGTCCTTGAAGGGGTCTTTGCCTGCTACGGTGATGGTGTCTGTAGGAGCTAGACGTTTGCCTGCTAGGAGGCGGAGGAGGGTGGTCTTGCCTGCGCCATTGGCTGTTGAGGGTGGTTTAGAAGTTAGTTTGGTTAATACGTGCTGAGGCAATGGGGTTGGACATACCTCCAATAAGTAGGGTTCGACTGCCGGCGGGGGCTTGGAGATTGACGTCGGTCAAGCCGGGAGAACCGTCGGGGAACTTGAAGGATAGGTTCTTGACCTCAATTGAGGGGGAAGGGGCGTTGTTGTCTGTCATGATGAGAGATGCGAAGAGCGCAAACAAAGATGAGGGGAAAGTCAAGTGATAGAAGAATAGCAGACTGCTCTTATCTATCTAGTAGTGTGAGTTACTCCAGTCGACGTCGTCGTATCTAATTAATAGTAACCGATTTAAACGAAGATCTATAATCAAAAGGCAGAGAAACGAAGACTGCAAATTCGTCAAGACTCAACGAGAGAAGAAAAAGAAAGGAAGAAGAGGAAATGGAAGAGAAGCGATAAGACCCGATGAGGTAATAATGGATCGCGATGGCGGGGGAATTTGCGCCGGGAATTTTTCCAGAGCCGCACCGCCAGGATTACCTCCCTTCGAGCCCATCAGCTCGCGGTTTTCTTCGCCAGATGGTATTGTCGAGGCAAAGATGCTAATTAGGCCCTGTTTCAACCCTCCATGCAACCACTTTTCCGACGCTTTACGTCTCTCAAACGCCCCTCCGTCATGAAGCCGCTCATCGCTGTCGTTGGTGCCACAGGCACGGGCAAGTCAAAGGTGAGAGCGTTTACCCAGCCCGGGATCCTGGAATCTCCTTTCTTTTTTAAGAGACTGCTTACTGACGGTTGCAGTTAGCTTGCAGTCGACCTAGCCTCGCGATTTAACGGGGAGATCATCAATGGCGATGCCATGCAAATGTATCGCGGTCTCCCTATCATCACCAACCAGATCCCCGTCGAGGAGCGAAACGGTATCCCGCATCACTTGATCAGCTGCGTTGAGCTCGAGGAACAGCCGTGGTTCGTCGGCAGATTCAGAAGCGAAAGTCTCCGACTCATTGACGACATTCACGCCAGAGGGAAAACTCCCGTCTTGGTCGGTGGTACCCATTACTATACACAGGCCGTCTTGTTTAAAGACCAGCTACTTGGCGAGGATGCTACTGCAGACGATGTGCAGGAGGAAGCCGTAAATCGATTAACGGAAGATAACGACCCGAAATCCTCGACTAAATGGCCCATCCTCGACGCTCCCACTGAGGTGGTTCTACAAAAACTGAGAGAGGTCGATCCAGTCATGGCGGATCGATGGCACCCGAACGAAGCACGCAAAATCCGTCGCTCCCTAGAGATATATTTCCAGACCGGCAGGCCCGCGTCGGAAATTTACGCGGAGCAACAGCGGACGAAGCAGGCGGCCCTGATTCGGGATGACTCCCTTACAGGTGCCGGTCACTTGCGATTCCCGACGATGATATTCTGGGTGCACTCGGAGAAGGAGACGCTGAACAGTCGACTGGACAAGCGGGTTGATGCAATGCTAGAGCAAGGGCTGATGACAGAAGCCAGGCAGATGTCGGATTACCTTCAGGAAAAGAAAGCTCAGGGCGTCTTCGTTGACCAGAGCCGCGGCGTATGGGTGTCTATCGGATACAAGGAGCTAGCACCCTATTTCGAAGCACTATATGCCGGCTCAGCGGATGAGGCCGAGCTAGAGACCCTCAAGAAATCCGGCATTGAGTCGATCAAGACTGCAACGCGGCAGTATGCCATGTCTCAAATCAAATGGATCAGAAACAAGTTATGGCAGGCCCTTGCAGATGCGAGTTCGACCAATCGTCTCTACCTCCTTGACAGCACTAATGTCGACGCATGGGAGCAGAATATTACTGAGCCGTCCGAACGTCTTGTCCGTGCTCTGCTGGAGGATCAACCCACTCCCGATCCGAAGTCACTGTCAGAACTCGCAAGGACGGTCTTGGGCGCCAAGGAGGCGCAGCCACATAAGGAGTCGGGATCCGTCACCAAGTGCAGGACTTGTGACATCTGCCACAAGACCATGATGGGCGATGAGCAATGGCATATACACATCAACGGCTCGGTCCATAGGAGAGCTCTCAAGAGCGCCGCCAAACGGGCTGCGCGTGACGAATATCTACGAAAGCGACAAAAGCTGCTACACGAGGGTGAGGAGAAGGGCTCTGAATCTCCCGCGGAGCCAGATGTACAAGCCCCTCCGTCCTCTTAAACCAGATAGACAGACAAATAGAAGTCTCAAATTAATTGTCAATAGCACCGATGTGCCTTGCGTCTCAATGCAAATGCATCTGCGAGACCCGTGGGTAACCATGTAGAGAGATTCTTCCGCGCAGTGCATGCTAGCAGACCATCTGCATGTTTGCTTTCACACCGTAAATGTATGCAGAAAGCAGGTGCGGTCAAGAAGACAACAAGACAACGCTGACCGACAGCCAGATGATGTCATCTGAAGAAGCCCCTAACTTCTGGCTGTGTTTGGCATAGGGCTTGGTGTTTGGGGCAGCGAATAGATGTCAGACATAAAGCATTCATTTGCAATGATTGCACAGCACATACTTGTCACAGCACCGTCTAGGTCCAGTGACCAAGTCGATCCAGCCGATGCCGCAAGCGAGTTCCCATGCATCAAGCCAAGAGGCAAGCATATCCCTATCTGTTGATAGCAGCCTTATCATTCTTGCGCAACTGGGTGGACCCCGAGCTTCTCTTTCACTGGAGGAGTAGTCCACAGACGCAGAATCATTGGAAATAAAGAAGTCAATGACTGAGCGTTTGTATGGCTCAAGATTTGGACCTCCAGGCCGAAAATGCTGGTGAGATAATATCGCCAGTTCCACTCTCCTCCACCCTGAAGACTTCAATAAGCGACGATTTCTCCCGTTTGCGTATTCTCCATGTGCCTTCCTCTTGGATGGTAGTTTTAAGCCCTGTATCAGTCAGTTTAGATCCTGCTTCTTTCTTTTAATTCGGGCGAAAAGATTGATTGTATACGCACATTCAAGGAACGTGGCAGCGAAGTTAATGCAGATATTTCCGTCCCAAGTCGACCGGCCAAGCTTCTTGACTTTTCCAGGTATGGCAGCAGTCTCGAGCTCCTCAAGACGATGAACAATACCATGTTGGTCCCGAAAGCCGACAACGATCTTGGGTACCCCGAGTAAGAATGACTGGGCCCAGAATTTCAGGAGCTTCCTTTCGTATTTCACCATGTCCCGGTCATTTCTAATCTCGGCGGAGGTTTTCAGTTCTACCCAATGGATGGGATCTTCCTTTCGCTCAGGTTTGCAATCCCAGACTGTGAACAGGATGCGTTAGAACATGATATATGCGCTGTGGCAAGTGGTTGTGACGGAGTGGTGGGTGGCCTTTTGACATACTCGCATCTACCTCCCCACCAATGACTAGGCGTGCGCGGCCGATTGCAGTGCGCACCACTGAACAATACTGGGCATTGTTGTTCACCATGAGTTCCTCTCGGTTTTCAATCTCTCTGCGTGGAGTCGGATCCCACGGTTCATTAAGCACCGACAGAGTCTCAAATTTATACCCTGACTCGGTCAATGACGTTTCTAACCGTAAGGGAAAGAGAGCTCTTACCCCAGTAGGCCATCAGATCCTGGGATGCCATTCCCGGAGGCATTCGTTGATTTTTCTGAATTCGTTTCTGCTCATTCTTGTAGCTGTTGTTCTCTTCGATAAATCTGGACGGTAATTAGAGTCAGGAGCCAGTAGATATAGCAGGCTAGCATAAACCAACATTGTTCCCTGGAAGCACATTAGCAAAGAGCCCCTAAATCGATGGCTAATTGACATACCTGGAAGCAGGTAGCGTTCATTTCGAAGCTGTACGCAAATCAATAGCTGAAGCAGGAGAGCGACAAATCGAGAATACACACCCATTTAAGTTATCAAAAGGAGCTGCAAGGATCTAGACAAATCCAACATAAGCATATCTTTCGATCCCATACGACTGAACACATTATAGGCGGTGTCTACCTTGGTCATCATGCCTCTCCAGGTGATAATATCAGCTTCACATTTCTTCTGCGTTTCTTGTTCCAGGGCTATGACTGTCTCGAGCAGAGCATCTAGATGCTCATCAGCTGAATCATCCAGCTTTTGAAATGACTCGAATCCGCGGTTCAGGTCCGCGGGAAGGCATGGCGGATAGTAGTATTTCATCGATGAATCTCCGAGATGGAACTTATGCTCATCATCATAAGAGAAACATGCAATCTCCTGGACAAGGGTTAAGGGCTGGCTTTGAGCATCCGGAATGAATCATACTAAGCTTACCTTTGGACGTCGAATGGCAGCGCTAGCTCCGTAGAAGCGGCCAATGGGCTGAATATCAAAGGCCTTGCGATCCATTACTTTGAGAGATTGCCCGGGTATGATGGTGACTGGATGTGAATGCGCGGAAAGGTTACTCTATGTACTCTTTCTGCCGTGCGCGCGCGCCTTTCACGAGATTATACCAGGGATTAAGACCATATGAACTAAAGTCTCAAAGGTGTCCTGCTGTTGCTTGGGAAGGAAAGAATCAGTGGTAAGAGCGAAACCATTCACCTCCAATATAGCTAGGTATGAACCCTGCAGCGCGCAAATGCGGAGTGGAAGAAATAAGTAGATCGTCGTTGCAGTAGTTCAGTCCAGCTGCTCCCGTCATTCTGGAAGAACCGAAGCGCGTCCCCACCAAAAGTCGCCCGGCATCAACTTTCCCGGCCGCAGTGGCTTGACGTCGTCAACCATCCCCGATTCAGGCCTGTCGAACTTGTTGCGGTCGCTTTATTTCGCTTTCACCCTCTTATACTATTTTGTGGGCTGTCTCGTTATACCAATCCATCGTGTTCACTGTATCCCCGACCTCTTGACAGTCGCCCCTGGTGATTCATCCGTTCTCAAGATGACCTCACGTATCGACAAGACAATTGCTCGACAACGAGAGAAGTGAGCCAACACCACCTTGCTGCTTGTGCCGAGCAGCTTTCTGATGTCTACAATGATTCCCCAAAAGAGAACGATAACTGACGCATCTTGTCTTCTTGAAGGATCGCTTCTGGTGCTTACTATGAAGCTCACCAGCAACTGCGGGTCATCGCTGCCCGGTATATTAAGCAAGCGAACTACGATGCGGCGGCAGAGCTTCTTGCCGGCGGTGCCACCGCTCTACTGAAAGCTGGGTCTCAGCAGGGTGCTTCTGCCAGTGGCGGCGATTTGGCTATCATGTTGGTGGTTGAGGTCTACACAAAGGCGGGGTGGGAGATTACTGGAGGGAATGACGATGCAGAGGGGCGGGCTCGGAAGAGTGAGTGCTTGCCTATGCCATCTTATACATTGCCGCGCCGGTTTGCGGATGTCATACGGTGCTTTCTTGAAGTGATCGGGCTGACCGAGGGCTCCCTCTATCTACAGAGCGCTTAATCGAGCTTCTGCACGAATTCCCCCCCGAAGAGCCTACCCGGAGAAGGTTTATCCAGGAGATTATCGGCTGGAGTGGCAGGTTTGGACCCTTAGAACGCGGCGACCCTGAGTTGCATCATGCCGCTGGATCGGTATACGCGGAAGGTATGCAGACCCATGATGATTCCGATTTCGAGGGCGACTTCATAACAGCTGTCTCTAGACCACGAACCCTATGACGCGGAAAAGCATCTCATCTTCGGTACCTCGGAATCAGCTGAGACTCTGGCCAAACTTGAGTTCGAGTGGTACACCCATGACGAACCGCACACTGCCGCAATCTACGCCTCTCGCGCGGTATTCCCCTATCTCTTGATCGGAAACCTTCGCAGCGCCAACAAAGCGTTCCTTATTTTCACGTCAAAGCTTTCCTCCACAAACCCCTCACTCGGCGTGCAAGATGTCAGTAGCGCTAGCTCTGACGTACGCGTCTTCCCCGCGCTGCCCTTGCTGAACTTCATCAGCATGCTGCTCCTTACCATTCAGCGCGGTAGTTCGGATTTGTTTAAACAGTTGACGGCGCATTATGCATCCCATATCAAAGACGTCGGAATTTGGGATGACGCACTGTCTCAGATAGGCGAGCAATATTTCGCAATCAAGGTCCCAAGACAGAGCAACCCGCTACTGGATATGATGGGAAGCATGTTGTTTGGTGGCGGTCAGGATGGTGCTGGTGCTCGGATGGCACCTCAGGGCAGAGGAGGATCGAAGAGGGTGGAAGCGCCTCCGACGAGTATGGAGCTCGATTAGAGGAATTTCTGGGGAATTTGACCATGTAGAAGAACGCAGTCTGAACGCATCATCCATCATGCATCGTAATTAGTATAGACCATATCGCAAACGAATCTCTTAGGCCCTCGAGTCGACTTCAGCCTCGTACATCCAGTTATCTTCCTCCAGGGCGGCGACCTTATTGCGAAGGCTCTGGTGTATACGATTAAGAATTTCTATAGACATCAGCCGAATCGCATCGCGACATAAATCTTCGAGTGTAATTGAGGCTTACCGGCTGGCTCGATACTCATTTGTCTGTTTCGATTTCGATACATCATCTCAACTAGGTTTGCCTCCATCTCTAATTCCTCATTAGCTCGCCTGACTCGGGCGCTTGGGGCCAGACTCTCGACTTACTTTCCTTCTCCTGCGCAGTTAAATTGTCCCCTGCTGCGCCAGCACCATCCCCGGCACCCACACTTTCTATACCCTCCATTTCCTCACCATCTTCACCAACCAAGGGGGGTAGTACAGGGACATCAAGCTTGTAGCTACCGTTCTTGTCCTTAACCACGATTTCCCCGTTGTCAATAGATCCGGAGCTCAAAGATGTAGATGCATCAGACGAAGCGGACTGCAGCAGTTGTGACGATAGGCCAGAGGGTCCGTTGCTAGTTTTGCCCTGTGCAGAGGAACCTGCGGGGCCAGTTGAGCCAGCGCGTTTGCTAATGTGGTGGTGGAAGAGATTGCGGCGGACAGAGGTTGTTCCCATTGCGAGGGCGTGAGGCTAGACAGGTATAGGAATGACGGTTCTAATTAAGCAATTAAGTATAGAGTGTAAGAATGACTTGAAGCCGGTTAGCAATGCTTTTTGAGCGACAAGGCCCAGGTAAAACTGGTGTGGGTAGTCGTGAGGTCGGTGTTGTAGCAACTGAAGGGACTAGGTAAATGAATTTAGAAAAGAATTGGCAGAGGAAAACTGTTCGACGTAAAAGGATGGATGAGCATAATAATTGCTGGTCTGGAACAACATCCAACGGCTATGAAGCGTGAATACAGAGAACCCTGGATTGGCATTGAGGTGAAGTTGTAAGGCGGGATTCCGAAAGCATCACCAAAACCCAGCTGTCAACTGGCTGCCTCTGAGATCGCATGTGTGCTGAGCAAACTAAAGCCGGTTTTTCTAGACCTGGCTCAGTAATAGTACAAATGGTTAATGTTTGCATCATCCCCTCGTAACAATTCATTTCTTTGGAATCGTGCAGGAGGCCCGTCGCTTTTGGCTCCAGCACCGGCGAACAATAACTACCCTTTTGGGCCAAATCTATGCCGACGCGTCTCCGCCTCGACTTTCGCGTCTCCCGCTTCTTCAGTTCCAACCCATCACCAGCGCTTTGTTCTTGCCCTCGGTCTAGCACACAACAGAACCATTCAGCCTGAGCTAGCATATAATTTACATCAAGTTATCATTCGCTATGGTTCAAGCCGAATCCTCAGCCAGTGCCTCTCGCAATGGCCTCAAGGCGCATACGGCCGGCGCCCCTCCTGACTATGAACTGCCCTGGTACGTACAGCAGGTCCCAGCACTAAAGCCAGCTTAGAATGTCGAGTCTGATTGCCAAATTTAAACAATAGGGTAGAGAAATATCGCCCGGTATATCTCGATGATATTGTTGGAAACACAGAAACAGTTGAGCGCTTGAAGATCATCGCTAAGGATGGAAACATGCCGCACGTTATCATCTCGGGCATGCCCGGTATTGGAAAGACTACTTCGATCTTGTGCTTGGCGAGACAGCTACTGGGAGACGCATATAAGGAGGCGGTTCTGGAGCTCAATGCTAGTGATGAAAGAGGTACATCTACCCCACTTTGCGAGGGAGACGAGAGACGGCTTTAATCTCTAATATGCTCCAGGTATCGACGTGGTACGGAACAGGATCAAGGGCTTTGCCCAGAAGAAGGTCACTTTGCCGCCTGGTCGTCATAAGCTTGTCATCCTTGATGAGGCGGATAGGTACGTACTAGACGGTGAGCTACATTACCTTTTCTGGATGCTCACGGTGGTATAGTATGACATCAGGTGCCCAGCAAGCTTTGCGGCGTACAATGGAGATTTACTCGTCGACTACACGGTTCGCGTTCGCTTGTAATCAGTCGAATAAGATCATCGAGCCGATTCAATCGCGATGCGCTATCCTACGTTATGCTCGGTTGACCGATGCGCAAATTGTCAAGCGTCTGAAACAAGTATGCGATGCTGAGAAGGTGGAACACAACGAAGAGGGCATTGCCGCCCTGGTATTCAGTGCTGAGGGAGATATGCGTCAGGCTATCAACAACTTGCAGAGTACATGGTCGGGTTTCGGTTTCGTCAGTGGGGACAACGTTTTCAGGGTGGTCGACAGCCCGCACCCGATCAAGGTCCAGGCAATGATCAAGGCCTGCTGGGAAGGCAAGGTTGATGCGGCGTTGGAGACACTGAATGAATTGTGGTATGTACACAGTGCAGTCTGTCAATTTTATGTTTGTGTGCTCGCTCTGACCGTATTTCTAGGGAATTGGGGTATTCCTCCCATGATATCATCAGTACCATGTTCCGTGTCACCAAGACAATTCCCACTCTGTCAGAACATTCGAAGTTGGAATTCATCCGGGAGATTGGTTTTACGCACATGCGCATTCTAGACGGCGTGCAGTCACTGCTCCAGCTTAGCGGCTGCGTTGCGAAGCTTTGCAGGATCAACATGAAGCCGCAGCTTTTTGAGCCGCCGAAGAATTGAGATGAAATCGAAAGTGTAAATTAGATGCAGGCATAACTTGGAGTTTTGGGGCGTTTATAAAGCAAGGCTATACCAAGCCCTGGGGTATTTAGCATATGATTTCAACACTTTCTTTGATTTTCAAGTTATTGTTGTTAGAGACTCCAGGTATCATTTATAAGATTCAGTTCATACATTGTAAAGCATGCATGCTGGAGACTACGCAACTCGAGGCCAGCTCGACAGTCTAGTCTCACTTCCTTGCTGGCATGGGAGCAGAAGGCATTCTAGCGCCCTCCGGCGGCTTGTTCTTGCTCTTGAAGTCATCGCACATCTGCTCAAAAGTGACCCATTCCACGCCCTCGTGCTTGTTTATGTATTCAATGATTCTAGAGCCTATCAGCAAGCCATCCACACAAAGCAGTTCTAACCAGACAAGCACCCAACTTACCTCTCATGCATAAGAAGGACATGCGGACGGCCCGACACATCAGGATGAATAGTCATAGGGAAGACAAACTCATCGTACTCGCGATAGAAGTAGTCGAAATGATCCTGCCAGATCATCAGTTCCATCAAAGGCCCCAAGAACCAACGCGTCAACCTCCAAGACGAACTCACCTTCCAGAGATCCTCAACATCCTTAGGATTCACCCAGCCATGACTATTCGGCGCGGACTTGATAAACATCATAGGCGGCAAATCATCAATATACCAGTTGCCGGGGATCTCCACGAGCCCCGTATCTTGACCCCTAACCAGCGGCTTCATCCAAGTCTCCGCCTTCTGGGAATAATCAATTTTAGTCCATGTATCGCCCGTCCTCAACCAATACATCTGACAATCATGATGAGACATGGAATGATCATATTCAATTCCATAGGAGAGCAACAAATCGGCCATCTCCTTACTGGTTTCCCACCATGGCGCAACGATACCCCGCGGCGGCTTGCCCGTGAAATCGTACAGCATGTGATAGGTCTTATCGAGAATGTCCCGTTGCTGCTCGAGGGTCATGTCGGAGGGGTTTTCGTGCGTGTAGCCATGCAGGCCGATTTCGTGGCCGGCGTCTCGTACCATGGCGCATTCTTCGGGAAAGGTCTCGAGTGAGTGGCCTGGGATGAAGAAGGTGGCTTTGATGTTGTATTTGGAGAAGAGTTTGAGAAGGCGTGTGGTGCCGATGTGGCCGGCCCAGAGTCCTGTAGGATGTGAGTGAGTGTACTACTAATAAGTAATACTACTGCTGCTACCCGTTGGTATGGACAGGGCGAAGTATATAGAAAGGAAGTGTTTTTGTTCTGTTCGGTGTTTGGACTTTTACTTACCTCGACTAATATCGTTGGAACTGTCCTCGCCGCCGTAGGATCCTAGCCAGCCGGCGACAGCGTCAATGTCGACGCCGTAACTGACGAGAACGCGCTTCTTGCCCATGTTGATGCTTTTTTTATTTGTGTTGGGGAAAATGGTGTTTGATCTGGGACAATGTGGCAGGGTTCTTTGTCGGATATGTAAATAGGTTGAATGAGACGTGGGCAGTACAAGTCTACAGGTTTAACCGAGGAGTAACTCTTTTTCCCCCAACCTTGGTCATTGATTTTTCTTTTATATAGTCGATCAGTGAGGGGGGGCCGATGAGGGGGGAACCTCGATAATTCGGTCATCTGAGATAAATGATCGGAGGGGAGGAGATAAGGCGCGATAGCCGACATGGAGAGAGCCGGTGCTACAGCAATGGAGAACCTTATCAGTATGCATATGCTCCTCGATTCATTACTACTGAATATTACTATCTAGTAGATACTACTACAGGCTTGCAAATGTAAGGATACGGTCTAGTCTTACTATTAGCTATCTAGATACTAGTTGCTCTGGACTGAATCACAGTATATTGGCTTACTCCAACAGTGACGCCTCCACTTCTGGCAGAACTCCAACGGCCCGGTTGGAGTAAGTCTTGTGGGAAAGTGGGGGTTGCGCTCGGGGCGATGGAGATAGCCAACTAGTATACCTAGTAGACTAGATAGACACACACACCCCCCAGAAATGGACTATTGAGCTATGCTCTAGTAGATGCCGTACACTAGCTGCGCCAGATCTTCTCAATGGCAGTCGCTGCTCCTAGGACCTTCTCCTCTTCTAGCTTCTTGCCGATGATTTGAACATTAATTGGATGACCATTCATGGCCTTCGCATCGTACAGCCCCCAATTCCATGCATCCAGTTCGTTCCTGGGTTGATAGTCTGCTGGCAGTGCGTCCACTTCAGCCCGCACCTGATCCACTGGAAATGTAACAGCAGAGTAGTCAAGGAAGTTCCAGATTTTTGTATACCCAACCCACCGCAGCGTTCGGTGGGGAATAGCAGGATGGGGCGTTGTCGGGGCCAGGAGTACATCAATGGGTTTCCCAGAGGGAGAGCGTGTTGCGTTCCATTTGTCCAAGTATTTCTTTTGCAGTGCAACTTTCTTCCTGTTGAGCTGCCAGTACTCGTAGACGGAAATGGCCTTCCCGCGATTTACCAATGCTTCCACGTGGGGAATATAAGGCTCCCCACCAGCTTCCACATCGCGGCGGATGTCTTCCCCCCCATCCACTGTGTAGAAAGTGTCCATGAGTTGGATATATTCTAGATGATCGGAAGCATCCCAGACGACTAGCTCGTGGCCTTGCGCTTCTAGTTTTGCGGAAAGATCCCGAAGCGCTCTCTCGATGGGAGGATGAACCTTCACAACTCCGTCATCCAAAATAAGCCCAATTACCATAGGCCGGTTCTGAACCTCCTCGTATGCGCTCTCATTCCAGAGTAGCGGGGTACATTTGGGGTCTAACTGCCACGGCTGTGCATTAGCAATCAGTCGGCTTACATAGCAGAGAGACGATAGATCTCGTGCCATGGGACCAACAGATGAGGGAACATGCTCTTGCCCCTCGGTAGACACCGGTACGCCATAGTACGGAAGCCTACTGCTCTATATGGTTTGTCAGTCAGGTCCTTTTACCTTATCAGAGCTAGGAAGGTGGTTAGACTTACCGTAGGCTTCAGGCTATACAGGCCCATGTGACTTTGTGGGATTCTCACACTGCCACCGATGTCTGTACCATACCCCAGGATAGAGCCGTGCAATGCCAATAGAACAGCCTCTCCTCCAGTGGAACCGCCTGGCGTGAACTCAGGGTTCCGTGGGTTGACGGTCAGACCCCAAAGTGGATTGTCTGTTTCAGCCCACTAAGTTATAGATTAGAATCTCGACCTTCTATCAGCGAGCTAGGCGGATACAAACCATTATGCTCTGTGGTAGGTTGGTCTTCGCCAGTACGATAGCACCCATATCTTTCAGCATCTGCACTAGAACTGCATCTTCTGTAGCGGGAGCAAAAGAGCGGCCCACGTATCCAAGTGTTGTGTCAACACCCTTGACATTGAACTGATCTTTCACTGTGACTGGAATGCCGTGGAGTGGTCCCTTGACTTGACCGGTTCGTTGAAAAGTATGGTCGAGCTGCCGGGCCTGTTCCAAGGCATCTTCGAACACAATTTCCGTGAGACAGTTGGTCTGTGGAGCCAGACCTATTAGTGCTGATCCACAGAAATCTTTCGATGGTAAATTTGCTCACCAACTGATGGGCTACCACAGCCCTGAGGACAGAAGAGTCAGTCAAGAATGGAAATGAAGGTAGTTAGGGCGATTCAAGTTATATATAGTACCTTCTAATAAAAGCTAATGTCGTCTGCTCAGCTGTATATTTGCCCGATTTCAGGCATTCGAAGAGCCTGGGCACGCTGTCGATGTCAGTGATCTCCTGGATTACAGGATCTTCTTGGATACGCGTGCGCTCTTGGACAGAGAGCAGCTGGGGTACACGCCGGTCGATATCGTTGACTTGATATGGCTTTAGGAGCTGGTTCCGTAGAGCACGCTTTTGGGAAACAATTTGCTCCCACGGCTGAACACTTCCCATTGTGGCAAAGATATTTCAAGATGGTTATCTTATCGAAGCATAAATGGGGTTAAGATGTCCTATTTCCGTTGTCACTTTCGTCACTTTCTCCCTAGTATATATATGTGGATGAATGTGAGTGCTATCAGCAGTTGATGTCCGCACCAGAACTCATCTGCTAGTGCGGGCCCTAAAATAAATGGGAGTCATTAAATAGTAATCTGGCAGCTCTCGGAGGAGATACGCAAAGCCAGCTAGTGAGAGACCGGTGGTATCAGTTGAAGGTGGGGTTAACTACGGATCAAGGGTCAATGTTAGCGAAGTCAGGCATTCGTGCGGAGTAATCGCTCGAATCCAGTCATGATAAGAACAACGACCCCATCGCTAGTAGTAGACTAGATCGATCCTAATAGAGAGGAGTAGATTGCGTTTGGATTGAACCTTGGCTAGTCAGGCACGCCGAAGTAATTCCGGTGGATCGCTGATCAACCGGCGAATGTTTTCCTGGGGAGGCTGTCCAAGCGGAACTTGTTGATGTTGTGGCGATGGCTCAACCACTGAATCCATCCGCACACTTGAATTTAATGTGTAAACTGTAAAGAATATAAACTCAAAAAGAGGCATCTGGGGAAACATCCTTCGAGAATACTAGGTTTGGGGGGAAGATTGAGCCGTCAAGAGAGGGAGGGTGAAAAAGGATTGGATTAGGTTGGAGTGGGGGAAATCTCCACCAGGGTCAATCCACCGTCAGTCCACAGGCCACACGCCGGCCAGCTTTTCCCTTCGAATTCCCCGTTTCTCCTCACAGCTTGCCGACGCTTTCCATCACTGGCTGCGAGCTCCGAGGCGTGTTGGCGAACAATTTCGACCTGTTCACGACAATGCTTATGACTCGTGAGATGCATTGTTCGATGCCCCTTTATTTGCTTCTCGATTACTAAGTTTTCTCCCAATTTGGCCTCAATCTGAGGACATGCCACCATGAATCCCCCCAATTCTGGTGCCGCTGCAACATCAGCGATGACCGGTGCCATCCGCACCGAATCCCGAAAGAAGTCCTCCGGCGCAATTGCGAAACGTGCGTGCGACCAATGCAAGTTCCGCAAGATCAAGGCAAGTAATATAGTAGATTCCTACGGCCCTCTTTCCGATCCGGGGTCCCCCTGTCTGCTTTTTCTCTTTCTTTTCCAGAAACCCCCCGAGGTCCACCCGTGTTTACTATCTTTCCGAGCCTGGCCAGCCGAGCTAATCGCCTCCGTAACTGCAGTGTAGTCTATCCCAACCATGCCGGGCATGTGTTTCCATGGGCTTTGAATGCACCTTTTTCCAGCCGCAGAAGAAACGTGGTCCTACTGGACAGTGAGTCTGAATATCCTGCCTGCCCTTGAGTTGCTTATTTTCATCTTTTTTAATCTGACCATTCGAATCTGTTGCGTATCCAAAGCCGTGTGTCTCAGATCCGGCAGCAACAGACCAACTTACCGGCTTTGAATAGCTCACAGAGCCAAGTAGCTTCCAATCCCTTACCAGGCGCTTTTGCCGCCTATCAGACGGAGTCACCATCCCGAGGAGACGGGAGCTCCAATCCCGTACATCCAATCCAGGATGCCGCACACTGGCCTATGCATAATGAGGCCTCCTCGGTACCCGTTGAGCTTTCTCATCCTCAACCACCAGCCCCAATTGCACCTAATTGGAGTTCTGGGGCCTCTCAAATTGAAACCCATAGTAATAGTGGCGTCAGCTGGAATGAGCGCAATGATGTCGAATACTGGCTGCCGGATACACTGGATGCTCAGGTACCCGTATTCGATTTCCCGGGCAGTAATATCTACCTGAAAGCCTCGCTTCCATCTATTATACAAACAGACGCTGCTCCTGCAGGTCTACAGTCACACCCAGCGGAGGCAGCAAGTGTACCCATGTCGGGGCCCAATGTCCTCCACCCGCCGCCAAATGAGACAAACACGCTCTGGCCCTCATCCATTGTGGAAGCGAATATGATACCGTGGATTGACGTCTATTTTGATCGTTTGCATCCAACATTACCGGTGCTAAACCGTTCATCACTATTTATCCGAATGCTGTCCCAGGAACACCGCAGAAACCCGCAATTTGGTGCAATGCTTCTCGCATTGTGCGCATTTTCCCTTACCCAACCGATCGAGATAGCCGAGCGACCGACGTCTTCTTCTCGAGCTAACCAAGCTCGATCCATGATGAACGAAGCGACCAAAATGCGAAGCTGCTCGGATTTCGGGGAACACCCAACAGTTGAAGCGGTCCTTACCAGTTTCTTCCTGTTTGGGTGCTTGTTTGGCAGCAACCAGCATAATGCCGCATGGCTCCGCCTGAGGGAGGCTCTTGATCTTGCTGCTACAATGGGCTTGAACAACCCGGATTCGTATCGAGATTTGCCCAGCGACGAAAAGGGACAACGCTTACGGACTTATCTGGTTCTGTCAATCACGGAGAGGTATTATACATATGGTTCGGGCCACCTTGAGATAGTCACTAACTAGCAATTCTTACAGAGCTTATGCATTACAGCGCAGACATCCCATCACCTTCTGGGGTCGACCGGGTTTCAGCATGCGGCCTGTTCATGACTTCATTCACACTGCCACCCATAGTCTGGTGTCTGGCGTCATTGTCCATAACGAAAAGGATGCTGAAGGAATGATGGGCCTCGCCCGTCTGATGGAACTTTTTGATGCCATTGACGAGGATGTTATCGATTGCTGGAACCAAAGATGCAACATCAACGCTGGCTACTGCGAGAAGCTCACGGAAGCCAAGGCTTTATCCATTCATCAGAATCTCAGCCGAGTTAGCGAGTCGGAACGATATAAAGGCTACGACTGGTTCGAGCGCTCTAAGTCAACCCTCGGCGATAATCAGGGAAACCGCCCGGCAATAGGTCTACGGGAAACCCAATGTGCAGACGTCTTTATCACGAAAAAGTGGCTTCAGAATCGCATTTGGGTGCTCTGTTCCACTCATGGGCTGCTGCGGCCTGCATCTGAACACCATGAGCTTGGTCTCCACTACGCTGTTTCTGTTGCAAAAGAGACGCTTGACATCTGTCGATCCTTGCGGCTGAGCTCCATGGAGGCACACGGAATTGGACTTGTATGTGCTATGTTGAATCCTCTTCCATCAAATTAGCTAACCAAAGTAGGCTGAGAAGTTGTACGACATTGCAGTCGGCGCCATTAGTGTCTTGTTCAATGTCCAGATGCCTCTCGCGAAAGGCACCACATTGGCATCACCCGCCAGAGCCATGCCCAACCCTCAGATACCGATGGCTGGTAGTCAAATAGTCTCCAAAACTCTAACGGAAGATTTTCTTTTACTGTTGAACAGTCTGCGAGGTGGAAACCATCCTTTCATGGAAAGGTATCGAACACTATTGAGCTCATTGGACGGCACTGGTCATGCCTGGGGCTCTCAATAGTATGAGCTTGCATACTGCCGGCATGCATGCCTTCTCTAGGATATCCTAAAATTCTCTTTCTTCTTCTGTGTTCTTACTTTATATTTGGCGTTCTGGTTTTATCACGAAGTGGTCCAGGAAACTGTTACCCTATCCTCTTGTTCTGGTCTAAGCGCACTCTTTGGTACAATAGAAGGTCACCAAACCACGCTATGGCATCGAAAACGGCCAGGCTGTAGTGCACTATCGAATACAATGCCATAAGATTAAGTGTTACAACTTCGTATATCTCACATGGATGACAGCGCTGACAGATCAAGCTGGCTTTCATTTTCAGCTTGCTGCTATGGAGGCTTTGGAGACTTGGGAATTAGAGCCAGTGGCCTTCTCGAGTGAAGACCAATATTGCCTCCATTTCCGTGCAGGAATATTGGCATCATACATTGCGTCGATTTCCACAAACTTGCGGCCTTTGGTCTCTGGGATGAAAAAATAGGCGAAGACCAGGATGCACGCCATGCAGCCGGCGAATACAAGATAGGTCTTTGGCCCCAGATTTGCTGCATCAGGCGCTGTTAGCTGGGGCACCACTAGAGTTGTGATCACAGCGGTTGCTTGGGCACAAGCAATGGTGTAAGCCATGGTGTGGTGACGAAGTTTAGGAGTAGCCATCTCCGAGGGCAGCAGCGTTGATAATGGTGAGAAGGAGGACGCCCAGAAGAAATTGAACGCAAAGGACAAGGCCGCGATTGCTATGGCTGATTGGCGGTTTCCCTTGTTGAACGCCAGACCACCAGCCGCAAGGTCGATGATGAAGAGGACACTCATGCCCGTCAATGCGGTAGGACGGCGGCCAGCCCGGTCCAACATGAACGGCGCAGCGATTGTACCCGCAAGGGTGCAACAAGAAGCTATCACGGTTAATGTGAATGGGTCTCCGATGCCAATCCCGGACAGGAAGACCGTGCTGTATGTCGTTGAAAGGATGATGCCTGAAACCTGGTTCAGAGAGTAGAAAGAACCGGCAGTCAGGGTGCGCTGAAGGTGCTTCTTGGAGAAAATTTCCCAAACGGACACCTTCATGTCAGAAGCATGCCCTTCGGAAAGTTCCATATCTCGGAGCTCCTCGTCGACTCGCTGTTCACTGCAACGGCGCAGTCTTCGCAGGTTGCTGCGAGCCGCTTCCAACCTGCCTCTAGAAACAAGCCACTGCGGGCTCTCGGGCAAAGGCAAGGTCCAAATGAGCAGCAAAGCAGGAAGGACACACTGGACTGTCAAGGGAATCCTGTACGAGCTCGGCCCTGTCAGGCTGTGAGTGCATAACACCACAATGGTGCCCAGGACACCCGCTACCAGGGTCAGAATATTTATCAACGATACACTTCTTCCTCTCATAGAGGCAGGGACGACCTGCCAAACGGTGAGTGAGGTTTCTTGAGACTCTAGAGCACCGACATGCACACCTCTGCTAGATACAAGGGAGCCGTGCCATTGGCAATCCCCGTAGCGATTCCGTTGATAAATCGACCAGAAACAAATGCACCCAAGTTTGGAGCCAGTACCTGAAGCAAGCTGCCGCCGATGGAGATTATATATGCAATCAACAAGGGGTACTTGCGGCCCAACCTCGAATTTAGCGGAGAGGCAGCTAAGCCTCCCAGAATCGAACCTATTAGAGGAACAGAAAACAATATGCTCTGATTACGAGCCGTCAAGACCAGTTTCCCTGTAAGTGGCTCGGGTCCTTGATATTTGTCGACCTGCTCATGCTGTTAGCCCAATGGAACCATCCTATGACGCTATCTTACAAAGAGTTCATTGACACATACAAATGGCCCCAATGCAGCCACAGGTGAAATTATCTTGTCATCAAAACCGAACACCAATGAAGCTGAGCCGAAAGCGGCGCAGGTCAGAAGCAGAAAGAAGTTGACTGTACGCTCCTTAGACGAGGTTCTGCTGTCTGAGGCGAAATCGACATGCTGTACATGGCTGACATCTTTCGGGGTATCAGGGGGACGGGTGTTTGAATCATTGGCCATCGCGACTGTCCTCATACATGTAAATGCAAGCGATTGAATGACATCGCAGGCGCCAATCAATCATTCATTATACTTGAGTTGACCTCATCAATGTTGGGGAAACCCATCAGTCTACTCTGTAGTAGGGGATATCCGCAGGAAACAAGCCTAGTAGAATTTGAAGGGGGAGACGCGTCACCCAGCCCGTCCCCAGAAAGAATCGTCGCCGCAGGCCCATGGGGGTGCTATTTATTGTCATACCAAGCAATCCTCCTGTGGAAGATGGGATGCAGACACTGGCAAGGTTTCTCTCTTGTGGCTCCACTTGCCACGCTAGTGGATCCCACCTCCAGCCATCGTCCCTTGGCTTGAACTCTATCATTAGATAGAGATTTTACGGGGGAGAAGAATATGGTTGGTGTCCACGATGGAAATACCTATGGAGAATACGATGAGGCTTGGGATTTAGTCTTGCCGGTCCTCGGACAGACTCTCCCCCGGTGATTTGATCTAACTTGGTGGTGTTAGGGGTACGTTTTCATTCCACAGTAACCTGGGTATCCATGTTTGAAATATAATGGGAATTGACGGAGTCTGGGGTTCTTTTCGCCGAAGATCCTCCGGGGATTGAATCATGCCCCACGACACGAGCAAGGTTCATCGTCCACTCAGTACAGGCAGGCAAGCTCGGCTGCATTGGATTTTGCAGCGGCTGCCAATTCACTCCCGGACCTCGAGCTTTATCGGTGGGGGTTGATAAGAAATAACTAAGGTGACGACGGATTGCTTCTGGATTCAACCTTGCCTGATAGGAGGGTTCCCGTCATGTCTGTCAATGGGAAATACTGAAATTGATATGTGTTCAACCTTGAGACCTTGTCAGCATCTCTGAAGATCAACCACAAAGCCATCGCTCTTCCAGTTTAAAAATCGAGAATAGCTCGGATGGAGCGGCAAACTAGCCCCTCAGATGACGCCCAGCGATGGCAGCCATCCTACCATTTCACTGCCCCCCACGGGTGGATGAATGACCCGTGCGGTCTAGGTTATGATCCTGCAACCGGCGTCTATCACCTGTCATTCCAGTGGAACCCGAAAGGCAATGACTGGGGAAATATATCCTGGGGGCACGCTGTGTCTAATGATCTGCTCCATTGGGAGGTTTATCCGGAGCCATGTCTGCAGCCCACCACCGAATATGACCGATGTGGCGTCTTTACGGGCTGCTTTCGACCCAATGCTGTAGATGGGGCCCCGAATGCCCTGACTGCTATATACACATCAGTGAAGCGCCTTCCCATTCATTACACGCTGCCGTATGTGCCTGGCTCCGAATCGGTCAGTTTAGCCACTTCGCATGACCAGGGGTTGACATGGCAGCGTCTCGACTGCAACCCAATTATAGCACGCTCACCCCCAAATGTCAAAGTAACAGGCTGGCGGGATCCTTTTGTGGGTGCCTGGCAGTTCATGCGGGAACAGCCGGAAGCTTTTCCATCCTCCGACCTCTGCGGTCTGATCTCCGGAGGTATCGCCGGACAGACCCCAACAGCTTTTGTATATTCCATCAATCCTCACGACTTACGACAGTGGAAGTACCTGGGGCCGCTGGTTGATGTTGGACTCAATTTCAACCCCTCCCGTTGGTCCAGCGACTTGGGGGTCAACTGGGAAGTCGTCAACTGGATTCCCATGACAGACGACGAGGATGTTACACGGTTGTTCATCCTCATGGGGGCTGAGGGAGGTCTTGCATCTGACAAAAGCCAGAAAAAGTCACCTCGAGCACAGCTTTGGATGTCAATTAAGCCGTGCTTTAGCACCCAACCGCATAGCAATACCGACCCTCTCGCATCCTATGCATTTTCCGGGGTCTTTGATCACGGTTGCGGCTATGCGGCAAATAGCTTTTGGGACCCGGTCACAGGCCAGCAGATAGTCTATTGCTGGATTACAGAAGATAACCTGCCAGATGACCTTAGGCACCGACAAGGATGGAGCGGCATGTTGTCTATCCCACGAGTAGTGAAACTGATCACTCTGCGCCATGTTAAGCAAGCCCGGCGTTCAGAGCTGAATGCCATCACCTCGATCGAAACAGAAGAAGAGAGACAACAAACCTTCACCATCCGGACGCTGGGTGTTCTCCCAGATCCACGACTTAAAGCTCTTCGCAGTAAGACGAACGGCATGCATATCGATCACCTGCCCCTAAGCAAATCCGACAATCGTATCTCTCCACCCAAAGCCCACTTTCCTATAACGACATCGAGATGGGAAGTCCATGCCAAATTCTCCGTCAGTAACCAATGCGGGAGAGTAGGCATAGAAGTCCTCCATGGCACCAGTATGTTTTATTCATCTCCCCCACACTGGCACACATCGTAGACTTTCAGCTCTTCCCCACTAACAGTCCACCAACACAAACCAGCCCTTTCAGACCCGCCGCGCCGTACTCTTCTATACTGGGAACCAGCCAGCGAAACCTTCTGTATCCAACGACCAATTCCGCATGACCTCCGCATCAATCATGAACTAGTGACCGCTGCCCATACGCTATTTACGTTTGAAACCCCATCCGGCGAACAAAAGGAAGAGGCGCTACAGATCCACGCATTCTGGGATACGAGCGTGCTCGAAGTGTTTGTGAACGAGCGCACCGTCATCTCCACCCGCATCTATCTGCCACCTGACCAAGCCTCCCAGTGTGCACTGCGTTTCTTCGCCGAGGGAGAGACCGACCGTGATGATCCTCCGGCTGTGGTTCTACAGGCAGATAGTTGGGATGGATTGGGCCTCGATAAGCATGATCGTGTCTCGTTGATCGAGCAATTGAGAACGAGGAAGAAGTCGATGCGCGAGTGAGATTCCATGCTAGAACCAGAGAGTCATAACACATGACAGAGCAATTAGGCTAGATATTGGAAAATTAAGAACTATCGTGAAGTCGAGCATTAACAGCTATGACTCTAGCTATCATATGCTAAAGCTTCAGTCCACAGTTCCGTTTGAATCTCTTTCAATACACGTATCTATGGCAGATGCCCCCGCCCCCAAAAAAGAACCTAAAAAGTAACAGGAAGATGAGACTCCACCCACCGCCATAAGTTCGATGATGATATGCAAAGCTGAAAGCAAATGCTTCGAATCCTTCCCCACTTGAACCGGCATTTCCGTCATGCAAAATAACCCCGGATAATATGCGAATGGGTATCATGTCAGATGATTATCATGGGAGACCGTCCTTCCTTCCAACCAACCAGCCAAAGCGAACCGTTATATAAGATACCTTGCCAGGGATGCAACAGAAGAGAAAGAAGAATGAGAAAATAAGCTGGAATAGAAATAAAGTTATATAATAAAGAAAGGACAGGCATTCATAGAAGAAGAAAGAGGAAAGAAAAGTATTATAAGAGAAACATAAATAATAGTGGTCATAGCAAAACTAATTTACCGGTTGTTTGTTGTTGCTGAGGGGTCATGAAGAGGTAACCGGAATCGATCTCACCGGCGTTGCCAAAACTTCCAATTAGGAAACGCCTTTCGTCCATCGCGTTTGTAGATCCGCCAATAATAGACAGGGACACCGGCGACGATGAAAGCGACGACAATTAACGTCTGAAGCGGTTCTGCAATGATAGCCCGGCTGAGGAGGAAGAGACTAACGCAGCAGAAGATGATGGGAGTGGAAATCCAGGTCTTGTAGGGGCGATGCAGGTAGGGTTCCCGCACGCGAAGAATTATCAGGCCTAGCACCGTCACGAAGTAGAAGGTGTACCCGGCTACCCCGTAAAAGGTGACAAGGGTTTTGAATTCGCCGACGATGACGTAAATGAGGGTGAGTGTACTGTTCAGCGCCATGGCGTAAATGGGGGTGAAGCCAATTCGCGTGCCATCTCCACAGAGGCGCGAAAAGACCTTGGTGGCCCAGGAGCGGCGCTGGAGTCGGTTGGTGGAGGTGTCTCGAGTCCATAGTTTGCCGAAAATAGAGGGGAGATAGCCCTCTTTTCCGGCTGCATAGACTAAACGGCCGCTGGTGAAGGCCGTGGCGTTCAAGGCGCCTATGCAACTCGCGGATACGATGAGCGCGAATATAAGGGCTCCCACGTGGCCAAAGACCTTGTCGCCGAACTGAATGGCGACGGTATTGGTCGCTTCAATAGTCGAATGAGGGAGAACGAGAATGTAGGAGATATTGGCAAGGAGATAGGAGAGGATGACTAGTGGCATGGCTGTGTGGATCACTCGTGGAAGATCCTTGTTGGGATTCTTGAATTCGCCAGTCACGTAGTTTGTCTTGGTGGAGTCAGTCAGAGATGAATGTTGAATACTGGGTGTGTACAAAAACGTACGTTGTCCCAACCGTCAAAGGCCCAAAGACCCGCGTACAGAGCTACAGCCCATGCGGATATGTCGAGGTTCGTGCCCTCGAACCAGCCGGACTTCCATTCCTTGTTGGCACTGCCAGTCGATGAGTGACCTGTGATGGCCACAATGATACCGATGATGGTGACGCCCAGCAATGCGACAAACTTGAAGAACATGAAGAGGTCACCAATGCGCGCAGCCACTCTAGTCGAGATACAGTTCAACAAAGTCACCACGAAAATTCCGCCAAACGCAACAGCCTTGTTTATCCAGGGATTTACCGTTTCCACATCGGCGCCAACGAAGGCTCTTACGACGTATTCTCCGAAGATGATTGCGATGATAGCCGCACTGCCCGGCTTCAAGACCAAAACTGAGCACCACGTGAACAGGAAGCCCGCCAGCTCCCCGAAGATTTTAGAGAGATAGACCTGGGAGCCTCCGTTTAGGGGAATAGCTCCGCCGAGCTCTGCATAGCTGGCTGCTCCCGTCCATGCAAGTAGGCCAGCAACAACCCATGCAATCAGCGACGCACCAGGCGACCCCGCATTGGCATTGACCTGGCTGGGAGATGAGAAGATACCGGAGCCGATAACCAGCCCAATCACGAGAGATAGACCATTCATATATGTCAATATCTTGTTCCTCTCTAAGGACCCATCAGCAACTCCGGCCTCTCGGTCAGCGGCCGAGACCCCCAACGGTGCATAACCACCGGTCGTCTGAGACAAGGGAAACAAGGTCGCCCCGAAATCAAAGGCCGAGGATATCGAGTATGAGCGAGCCGATCGGGGGCGCCCTGACGGGCCCTGTAACTGTGGATTGGAGCTGGAAAGAGGATCTTCATCTTCGAGGGAGAGCTTGCGCGACGACGAAATGCCGGAGGGCGACGAGGAGCGGGAGGATCTGGGGGCGGAGTCGGGCGACGAGGCTAAAGACGCCAGTTCGAGGGAATCCCTGGGAGCATGGTAATTGCCCGACCTGGACTCGGAATTCGAGAAGGTTATATGGGACATGCCGCCCAAAGAAGGTCGAATCAAAGAATGGTTGAAAGCTGGAAGAGCGAAAGCGGGCAGTTAAGAAGGATGGGGCACGGGGCAGTGTTCCATGCCACGGGGAGCAACGAGTGGGCGGGCAATTCTTCCTCCCCTAAACAAAACAATGGGGGTCAGCAGATGAGAAAGAGACAAGAACTAGCGGCTTGGGGAGGAAGAAGCATGAAGCATTGAAGAAGATCTATTGAGGGACAAAGAAGAAAGACGAAGGGAAATGCGACTCCCTGCGTCCGCGGCCCAATGGGGCTTAGCGCCATGCGATCTCCGGTCTGCTTTTTATAGCGTCATGTTCCACTTCCCCATCCATTGCCCCAATTTTTTCCCTATACCCATGAAGCCCCGCGCTCTCCCTCAGGGCTTGTTGCGCCAGTTCAATGAGTCGCCCACTGTCGGGAGGCTCGTGAGCCGACCCCCCAGACGCTATGCTTCCACCTCGCCATCGTCTACTCCGCCGCCGAAGCAGCAACGATGGCTGCGATTCGCCTTCATAACTGCCGCTGCGGCGGGTATTGGTGCCCTGGTCCGGTCGCAACAGGGTCCAGATTCGACGACCCTGAATTCGATGAAGTTCACACCTTACTATTTAGTATCCCGCGAACCGGTCTCATCGACCGGGAGCTACTTCGTTCTTCAACCACCGGCGGCCGATGGCAGCAACCATGCCGTCTACGAGGGAGCATGGAAGACAGGCGTTTGGAGTGTCATGTTCAAACAGCCACAGTTGCAGATTGGGAGAGACTACACTCCTCTGCCCGCTACTTGCTCGGAGGATGAAGAAGACGAGTGTCTACGCTTCTTCATTCGGAAGGACCCGTTCGGCGAGGTCTCCCGCTATCTACACAGTCTAGAGATCGGAGCACCCATTGAAGTACGTGGCCCGCGAATCGAATGTGAAGTCCCTCCGGATACGCAGCGCATCTTGTTCATCGCCGGAGGCACGGGAATTGCCCCTGCCCTGCAAGCTGGACACACGCTTCTTCGCCGCACCAACGAAACGCATAAGCCTAGAATACATATCCTCTGGGCCAACAGGAGACGGGAAGACTGTGTTGGTGGTGTGAGTGACACAACTACAACTACAACAACAGCACCCTCAAGGTCATGGTTCTCCGGTCTCTTCACGTCTTCGAAGGGCAACCAAGACGGCCCTGATGAAGCACCCCGCAGTACAGCCACTTCGTTAATAGTCCGTGAACTGGAGGCTCTTCGGTCGCAATACCCTGGACAGGTGACCGTGGATTACTTCGTCGATGAGGAAGGCACCAGCATCGGGAAGCAGCTCATCCTGGACTCCACCCGCAGTGGCCCGTCTTCTCAGGATTCGGAAGAAAGCAAGAACAAACCCAACTTAATCCTGGTCTCCGGACCGGAGGGCTTCATTAGCTATATGGCAGGACCAAAGCTCTGGGCTCAAGGAATGGAATTGCAGGGACCACTCCGAGGTATCCTCAAAGAATTGGACTTGAAGGATTGGGTCGTGTGGAAATTGTAACCATAAGTATAAAGTTTTCTGTGCGATAGAGAGTATATAGACAAAATAGACCTTCCTCCGTCTTTTACCCCAGAATCCTCCGATAGCGGAGCAAGACATAATGCGTGCCGTGTGATTGGTCGATCATTCGGGTCTGGGTCCGCGTCGGGGCTTCCCTTTAGTTTGCCTTCAAGTGTGAACTTTGAGTCACTCAACTTTCTCCCAATTTCTTTCTTTGCTCTGTCCTTCCCCCATCCTTGACGCTTCTGTCTGAAGATGCAGTCGCGTTTGTTGCCCTCCGGCCCTGGCAGGCGCTGGATTTCTCTTCGCGTGCCGAACACGCCTCAACGACGTGCCTTCGCCTCCACCCGCTTCCTTTTCCAGGATGTCTTCCAGTCCCAACTGGACGACCCTTCCTCCGCCGCCCTCTTCTCCTCCCTGCAGTCCTCTCGGGCCGTGCCCCAGACCTTGACGGAAAAGATCGTTCAGAAGTACGCCGTAGGTCTGCCCGATGGCAAGTTTGTCAAGTCCGGCGACTATGTGACTATCGCTCCCCACCGGATTATGACCCATGACAACTCTTGGCCCGTCGCATTGAAGTTCATGTCGATCGGTGCCTCCAAGATGCACGATCCCAATCAGGTCGTGATGACTCTCGACCATGATGTCCAGAACAAAACAGAGAAGAACCTGCAAAAGTACCGCCAGATCGAGGAGTTTGCCAAGCAACACGGTGTCGAGTTCTATCCCGCCGGTCGAGGAATTGGTCACCAAATCATGGTTGAAGAAGGCTTTGCCTGGCCCGGCACTCTGGTGGTCGCCTCGGACAGTCACAGTAACACTTATGGTGCCGTGGCCTCGGTTGGAACTCCCATCGTGAGAACCGATGCGGCCAGTATCTGGGCGACCGGTAAGACGTGGTGGCAGATCCCCCCAGTGGCCAAGGTTACTTTTACCGGTATCCTGCCCCCTGGCGTGACTGGCAAGGACGTCATCGTTGCTCTGTGCGGTCTATTCGACAAGGATGATGTCCTGAACCATGCAATTGAGTTCACTGGCTCTGAGGAAACCATGAGAAGCTTGCCCATGGATAGCCGGTTGACCATTGCCAACATGACGACTGAGTGGGGTGCTTTGTCAGGACTGTTCCCCATGGATGGTGTTCTGAAAGGCTGGTTGAAGGGCAAGGCTACCACTGCGGCCATGGGCTTGGCTGATGGGCCGTTCAAGACCCTGGCTGCTCGCAACTTCACCCACCCTGCCATCGAGCAGCTTTTTGTGAACCCTCTCACTGCCGATAAGGGTGCCAAATATGCGAAGGAGCTCTTCCTGGACCTTTCGACTCTTTCTCCCTACGTTTCCGGCCCCAACTCGGTCAAGATTGCCACCCCCCTCAAGGAGCTGGAAGCCCAGGATATCAAGGTCGACAAGGCCTATCTGGTTTCCTGCACCAACTCTCGGGCTTCGGACATTGCTGCTGCTGCTAAGGTGTTCAAGGATGCCGCAGAGAAGAACGGTGGGAAGGTCCCGAAGATCGCTGATGGCGTCAAGTTTTACATTGCTGCCGCGTCCATTCCCGAACAGCTCGCTGCGGAAGGAGCTGGTGACTGGCAGACCCTCCTGGAGGCTGGAGCAACGGCCCTCCCCGCTGGATGCGGACCTTGCATCGGTCTAGGAACGGGATTGCTGGAGCCCGGCGAGGTCGGCATCAGTGCGTCGAACCGCAACTTCAAGGGTCGCATGGGTAGCACTGAAGCCAAGGCATACTTGGGTAGCCCCGAAATTGTTGCTGCCAGCGCCCTCAGCGGCAAGCTGAGCGGCCCTGGCTGGTACCAGCCCCCTGAAGGGTGGACCGAAGTTGTCCGCGGTGAGGGCGATGGTATCCGCGAGGAGGACCGCATGCTCAATACCGAGCAAGCTCTTGAGAAGCTCCTTGGTCAGTTGGATGACCTTGTTGCCGATGGGGAGAAGCGCTTCGCTCCGGAGGAGAAGGTTGAGGAAGAGGGTGGCCTGACTGAGGTGTATCCTGGTTTCCCTGAACGCGTCTCTGGCGAGATTGTGTTCTGTGATGCTGACAACCTGAACACGGACGCCATCTATCCCGGTTACTGGACCTACCAAGACAATGTCCCCGTGGAGAAGATGGCTGAAGTATGCATGTCCAACTATGATAAGGAGTTCGCCTCCATTGCCAAGGAGGGTGACATCCTGGTTGTCGGATACAACTTCGGCTGTGGTAGCTCTCGTGAACAGGCGGCCACTGCTCTCTTGGCGAAGCAGATTCCCCTGGTCGTTTCGGGTAGCTTTGGCAACATCTTCTCCCGGAACAGCATTAACAATGCTCTCATGGGTCTGGAGGTCCCTCGCTTGGTTAGCCGTCTGCGCGAGGAGTTTGGCGACAAGCAGCTTACCCGTCGGACCGGTTGGACTCTGACCTGGGATGTCCGGCGCAGTCAGATTGAGATCCAGGAAGGCCAGAACGGACCCAAGTGGACTCACAAGGTGGGCGAGCTGCCGCCCAACGTGCAGGAGATCATTGCGAAGGGTGGTCTGGAGAAATGGGTCAAGAACGCCATTGAGGCGTAGAGCAAGTGGTTCAGCAGAAATGAAACGCGCATGACTGTCGACAAAGTGATTCTTATGATACCCAAGCCTTCCAGTCTTCGTTATGGGGTTGCGGCGTGAATGTTTCTTGGACAGAGACGATACGCATGAAAAAAAATATCAAACTCAAGAGATGACTCTGCATGTATAGAAAGAAAAGAGATTTCCCTTATTAGATGTACTCCAGTTCACGATCAATGTATTCTATTTTCTATTTTTTTTTCTCTTACTTTTTCTTACTTTTACTTCCAGTTCTCGGTGCCTAGAGAGAACGTGTGTTTTTCACCAGCATTGGGGGAAAAAATGTCCCGCTGGGTCACATTTGCACACCCTCTTGCTTTCATCTTCCTCCATTTAAACCCTATCTCTCTGCATCAGCCATTCCCACCATCACGATGGATATGGCTATGCCAGGTCCAGAAAACAAGGATGACCTTGTTGTTTGCTGCGGGGAATCAGACGAGGTTTGGGGCGGTGTTTTAGGACGATCGCCTTACAAGGTTTAGAACACGGGCACTGGCGTGGTGGCCTGCAGTTGCACGGCTCACTGAGCCTGTCATGATTCGCTCCAGCTCAGATGCCTTCAGCTGTCAATCCTCTGCTGGCTTCCTTCCTTCAGCTGGCATTGTTTTCTTTTATTCTGCTCTCCTCCTTCATGATCGATGGACTCTCTACGGTCCCCCCCCCCAAACTTATGATCTGAGCATCCGAAACCTTCAATTTGTATATGATCGTATACTCAGCCCCGCTACGCTGCTGATGTTCCCCCAATGAGGTGTGGCTACCGGCAATGGATCCTGTCACCGCAATCGGTCTGCTTTCCGGTGCGTTTCAGATCGCTCAGTACGTCAAAGACACCGCGGGGGCACTGGCCCATCTGTATGGCAAATTCAAGGATGCCGACCTCACCATTCGATCGCTTATCGGCGAGCTGACGACCATCCGATCGGCCATTACACAGCTACACGAGTGGGCAAGCTACAATGTTCGTGACTCAACCGAACCCGACGAGTATGTCGAGGGACTTGAAGTCGCATTGGACGGCTGTCGCGCCGTCATGGAGGTTCTCTCGGACGAGGTCTCAGCTCTGACAAGAGGTGCAATGCTGAGTGACACTGGGATCGGATTTCGCACTCGAGTAAAGGTCGTCTGGAACGAGGACAGCATGAAGGTTCATCAGGAACGACTGCGTGCGCAGGTTCATGCACTGCAGCTCCTGCTTCAAGCCTGCCAATGGTGAGTCTGGAAGTTGACGAAGCAGCAATAGATTACTGCATACTAAACATCGTGCATTAGTCGGACATCAACCGAACAAGTCGAACTGTTACGGAGAGCGGAAAATCGCCAGATCATTGCGAAAGTCGCCAGCGATACAGCAACACTACGGTCTGCTTACAGCTACGTACCCTCACGGGCGGAGACTCCGAGCCTGACTCGTCGCTCATCCTCCGTAGGGGACACGGTTTTTGATTTCGATAGAACAGTGGTGACTTCCCTTCCCTATAGACGCGCGATCGGACAATCACGGACCCATCCTACGACGCAAGCTGCGGTCAACCGCAGCACTTACAGCCCACCTATAGATGAAGGGTATGGAAGTGGTACTGTGAGTAGTGCAAGCCCTCCCGGAACGAGTGGAGTTCTCCCAATACATCCCTCTGCGTCGTTCGACTCTAGCCATGGCCACAGTAAGAGCGTGTCGTTCGCACCGACTCCTTTACCGCAGAGTCCGACTCAAGTCCGCAGATGGCAGTCAGATGCGAGTGGCGCTTCCTGGGGTAATCGCTCCTCAGGATCACGGCGTGAGAAGATTCGGTCCATCATTCGGCAACTCAGGCGTCCAAGCTGGTCAGCGACGCAAGCTTCCGTACGAGTTCCTGGGCGGAGTCCGTCGGAGCGTCGGCTGTACGAAAGAGATTTGAATACTAGCATTAATTTGACATCACCGGATGGAGCGTCTGCGCCGCCAATTATCAAGTCAGCCCAGTCGGGCAGTCGATCCGATGTCGAAAGGCTCCTCGAAAGTGGTCATGACATTGAAGCCCGTCATATCCCGTCGCGCAGGACTGCCCTTTTAGTAGCATCCCATTGCGGGAATGAAGACGTGCTGGATCTACTGCTGCAAAGAAACGCTAGAATGGATGCTACCGACAAGTCGGGTTCCACCGCGTTGCACTTGGCTGCGTCGCGCGGTCATTGCAGAGTGCTTGAACTGCTTCTTCCTGAGTGCTTAGATATCGAAGCACGGAATGCTAACGGCCAGACTGCTCTCTGGGTAGCAGCACATTATGGCCAAGCTGAAGCCACAAACCTCTTACTTGCTTGTCACGCCAAAGTTAATGCGCGAGCTAATGATCAAGCGACGCCGCTACATCTGGCCGCCAAACTAGGCGATATAGTAATAGCAAGGATTTTGATACAAAACGGCGCAGATTTGGAAGCCAAGGACGGAACGATGATGGCACCACTACACTACGCCTGTGAAGGGGGGCATCTGGATGTTATGGAGCTGCTCCTCAATGAGAAGGCGAATGTTAACGCGGCTGGAAGCGACCGAAGGACGCCGCTCATATGTGCAGCTGCCCTGGGTCAGCTGCTGGCGACGCAGCTTCTGCTTAAAAAGAAGGCATCGACTCGATCGGTCGACGATGCTGCTATGACGGCCTTGCACTGGGCTGCTTATAATGGGCACACCGAGATTGTTGACATTCTTAGCCAGAAGAAAGGGTTGCTGGCCAGAACTAACATTGCGGGACGAACAGCCTTACATCTGGCTGCAATGAAGTCACAGTTCGCGGTGGTGGAGCTGCTTCTTCGGAAGAGTATGCCATTAGAAAACCGCTGCCTCTCGGGTCTCACGCCGCTTCACTATGCGTGCATGGCTGATAATTGTGAGGTTACGAAGCTTCTGCTTATCTCGGGCGCCAATATCGAGGCCCAAGCTGACTCGGATCAACGTCGACCGGTCCACCTTGCAGCTGTCCGTGGGTCGATGGCACTTCTTAATTTACTCTGTGACAAAGGAGCTTCTCTGGATGCCCGTGACACCGCGGGAGATCGAGCGCTCTGCGTAGCATCTCGGTACGGACATGCGGCCGCCGTCCAGAACCTGCTCGACCGCGGGTCCCCAGTGTGCCTGCCTTATGGCGTCCGATCGGAAGAGGATTCGCCTTTGTGTTTGGCCGCTATGGGAGGACATGTGCCCGTGGTCACGCTTCTCCTCCAGCGAGGTGCGTCAGCCATCAAGCGGGACGAACGAGGATGGCAGCCCTACCGCTATGCCGCTTACTATGGCCATCCAAGTGCGCTTCGTCTGCTCATGTCCTGTAGTCCCCTGGTTGCCAAAGACGACGTAGATCTGGGCCTCACGGCAGAGAGAATCGGATTCGCGCCGTCTGCGGATATATCTATTGAAAGGAAGCGAGAAGTACAAAGCTTATTGTATCAGATGCAGCACCCGTCACAGCCAGGAGCCGAAGGCTCCCCGGCCTGGTCCTTTCCGCTAAAGCCCAACCAGCAGCACCCAGTACCTTCTGGAGTCTTGTCCGATGTCGCTGTATACCATACCCAGCTGTCTCCGACGGCAGAAACGAGTCCTCAGGAGCTGCCAGGGACTTTAGAACAAGGGCTCCCGGCAAGCCGGTCTCAGACGCCAGAGCATATGCGGCGAGGAAGTAGCATTTATCAGCGCATAGACTCTGAATTCCGCGACGTCCCGCAGATCCTAGAGGCCAATGAGCGGGCCTTTGCCCCAACCAATGAACAGATCGCGATGCCTCAAGCGCGACATTACTATCAAGTGCCCGGAGGAACTCCTAGTCCAAGCAGCCCGTTTCTGGAAAGTGTGTTTTCGCATGCAGGCGAGAGGGTTGGCGTCCGCGCCACAGACTCGCCTGTCTCTTTGACAGATGTGCATGGGCTGAACCCTCCGCGCGCATCTTGGACAGCACCCCTGAGCCATGCAGGCGGGGAGGGTCAAAAGAAAGAAAGAGAATGGGACACGGAATCTTCTATATCATCAGTTTACACTGCACCGGAGGAAGAGGTTGCCGAGCTTGCTGCCTAGATTTACAACGTATAATATTACATTGTAGCTAGATCATATGTCACACATACACACACACACACACAGAGAGAGAGAGAGAGAGAGCGCGCGATCTGCCTTACGGCCACCTCTATACGAGAATTTCCTTTCTATGGATCTGGTTGAGTCACTCCCGGACGTTGACCCAAAAATAGCAGCAATATAAGCATGTGGCATCGCATGGCATCTCTCCGCCATGTGGCCGGGAGGAAGCCTTGACCCATCAAAGTCAAAAAGAAAGACATGTCTCAGACTCGTTTCTTTTTCTCCCACAAGCCTCAGGCTGATTGCTCTAGTCATCCGCCAGGATTAAACGTGGCTGAGGATGACGATGGTTCATGCCTTTGTGCATCCAATCAGCCACTGCGAGGGTACCAACACCTATAGCTGTGCAGTATATCTCCCAGGGACAGAAAAGTCTCATTGGCGCAGCGGATATGCTGACTCGAATCCCGAGATTCCTCAAACTGTGTCTGTTATCTTATTCTTATCCTTCAGGCCGTGCGTATGATGCCGTGACGAAGTATAATCAGCTGACCTGACCTTATTGACAACCACCGACTAAACAGTTCCATGCCAGATGATAGGAGGAACCCAACTAGACCAGGCAAGACAAAAACCAACCAACGCTAGTAAGTAGTTAGTTAAAGGTTACACCTGAGTCATGCTTTCAAGCAAAAAAAACTCTCAAATCTAGTAAAAGAGAAGAAAAAGCAAAGCGAAACCATACCAAGCCGAATTCAGGCTTTGATCCCGTCTTATCGACTATTTCTGAATCTTCTCATACAGAAGGTATTGGTCCTGAGGCTTCGATTATATTTAGCACATTGGTTGGTTAGCAAGAGAGTCAGTCAGTCATTTAGTTAGTTACGACGGTAGCACTGGGGTTTTGGGATGCAACTCTCGTCAACTATGGGATGGGGTGGGCCTGATGCGTATTATTCGAGGGATTTTGTAGGACTACAACTTTATGAGCTCTTGGTTGATGTGCAGTTGGGGCTTAGGAGATGATGCATTAGTAGTAGTACTGGGTGTATATATAAAGGGTTCTTGTGCCCGGATAGATAGAAGCTTGAGCAGATTCACTACTACTACTACTACTACTTCTACTTGCATGCTATACTAATAATAAACTTACTCTCGCTACTACTTGTTCTTAACCAGTCAACGGATATACAACACTCTGAGATCGTGATTGCTCTCTTCATTTCGTGCCGGATAAATACTATACATACAGCGCTCTTTTTGCAGAGTAATACTCTATCACCACCATCTATTATACAAATCTGATCACACAAGACCATCACCATGGGCCGAGGAGGATACAACGCCCCCGAGACTACTGCGCCAACGCCCGCACCGCCAAGTTCGTCCTCTTTTTCTCTATCTCTGTCGCTGCCGCTGTCGCCACTTTCTTTTGCTCCGCTGCTCCCGCAGGGTCGTGGCGGGTACAACGAGCACCAGCCCGTCACAGAGGCGGTATAGCATACGACGCGCCATAGAGGACATCATCCGGATGGGAGAGCATATGTGCTTTATGATTTCCGATATCATTATATAGATCTCCCTCACTTGCCCACACAGAACCTATTCGACTCAGTCAGCAACAAGAACAACAAAAGAAAAACAGCACTCTACCACACTATAATACATAGCAACTTACTTTTCAAACACAACGCCCAAAACATCTTCCACGTCTCCGCTTTCCCCACGGCCCGTAATCTTCGCCATGGTATCAGCGGCAGAGCGCAGGTGTTCAGCGGCGGTGACGATGTCAATGTCCATGTCCATGTCCGTTTCTGGGAATTCATGAGCGAATTGGCGAGATGAGGAAGGCATAGGCGTCTGGGATTGCGGTTGAGTTTGCGTCAGGAAATCATCTAGGTGTTCGAGACAGCGTTGTAAATTAGAGCTTTGGCGATGCGTCACGCCGAGTGAATCTTCCCAATATGCATGATCGTATTTTCCGTTCTCGTCCCCATCGATACCTGTTGGAGAGGCGATATCCTCGAATGTAGTCATCAGACCTTGTAGAAATTGCTGGATGTAGCCGGGATCGGAGAGTTGGCTGGAACCGGGGCTGGTGAGGTTCAGGCCGTTGGTGGCATCTAGACAGGAGATGCCGAAGATACGCTGGCGCTGGTCCGGCGCCGCCTTGAAGAGTTGGCTGACTGTCTCGATGAGCTGCGCGGGCAGTTTACCCTCCGGTAATCGGTCACATTTGTTGATGGTTACGACGACGCACTTGCCGGCGCGAGCGCAGTCGTTGGCTGCGTCGACGACCTCCTGCTCGACGGCGAGGCGGTACGTCGCTGTACCATCGGTGGCTTCTTCTACTGAGACGACCACGATGACCACGTCCGATTCCAAGGCACGTGCCTTTGCCCGTCTGATGCCCTCTTGTTCCACGGCGCCAATCACAACCGTCTTCTTCTGTCCGGTAGGATCATTTGGCTCGGAGCGTATCCCTGCCATGTCGCCGAGCTTGCAGTACCAGCCGCCGATGTCGACACCGACATCCACGATGTCCCGCGTGGTGCCTTCCTCGGTGCTAACGATGGCGGCCTCTCTGCCAACGATTCGATTCAGAAGCGAGCTCTTCCCCGCATTCGGGGCCCCCAGGAGAGCGACCTTGATTCCGTTACGTAGGAGCTCGCCCTTCGACGCATTCTGGATGTGAAGGGCGATTTGAGCCCGCAGAGCCCGCACCTGAGCCGCAACCGAGGACACCAGGTCCTCGGTGGACTCGTCGAAATGCTGATCCTCTGAGAAGTCAATCAACGCCTCTAGTTCGCCGCGCGCATAGAGCAATTGATGTCGCCATTGTTCGTACCGCTTCGATAGCGCATCGCTGGCACCCCGGACAGCAAGCCGGCGCTGTTGCTCCGTGTCAGCGGACAAGGTATCGCCCAGGGCTTCGATCTGCGGGAGGTCTAGGCGGTTGTTCATGAAGGCTCGACGGGTGAATTCGCCGGGTTCGGCGTAGCGGACTGTGTAGTCAGGGTTGTTTGTACGCGAGATGGATGACAGAACGGATTTGACGATGGCTGGGCCACCGTGGAGGTGCAGCTCGAGCACATCTTCGCCAGTCACGGTCTTCGGGCCGGGGAAATATAGGACTAAGGCGCCGGCGTCGAGGACGGTGTTGGGGGAGGGTTTCTGGGAGGGATCGTACAGGGTGCGGACGACTGCGAGGCGGGGCCGGGGAAGAGGTGCTTCTGGACAGAGAGATTTGTAGATCTGTGTGAGTGAGTGACGTTATTAGCTGCCGGCGCTGCTGAGCTGAGTCGGGAGGAAATTCAATGGCAGAAGTGAGCTCTCATACTTACTTGCACACATGCAGGTCCCGATGCCCGCACAACGGCAATGGCAGCCCGTCCAGATGCTGTCGAAAGCGCATATATGGTGGAATCGGCATCGAATATGGATTGAGCTGGTGAGGATAATGAGAAGTATCGACGCGGAGGCACACGCGGAGACGAGCTCCGGGCATGGAGAGCTGGACCAACGCCCTGCCGGGCCACGGTGAAGCACCTACTCCATGATGGGCGAAAGGGTGTCGCCCACCATAGGGTCCGGACGGCCGATGATCGCATACGCGAGATGAATCTAAATAGGCGCAATGGGCAAACGAAGAGCAATTGCCGATCTTCGAGGCATGAGAGAAGGCGAGTCTCAACGATGAGGGTCGCCGCATCGCCGAGGTCACGTGATACCACCGCGGAGGAAGGAGAAGTGTCTCTTTAGTATAGTTATAATATTGTAGTGAATGTAGCAGGTGTGGTTCAAGAACTACAGTAGCAGCCTATGCAAGACAAGGTATTCATGTAGACAGATCCAGGAATCCAGTAGATGTATAAAAGCCAGATCACAAGGGCCCTGCGCCCCTTCGCCACGCCTGCGCGCCGAAAAGACACAAAGACTCGGCCATGCGCCACGGATTCCTTCCCCGTAGCCAAAATGCAATAGCGGCTCGAACGACATGCAGATATAAACGAGGAATGAAGAAAAGAGCAGAGCGAAAGGAAGTATGTACACAAAGAGATGACCGGAGCAACAGTGGGGAAGCAAGAATAGGTTAGAAGTATGAAGGGTGATTGGGAATCGCTAGAAAAAGGTGAACAATGTACCTTCGAAGAAAATGCGGAGGGATGCCCGGAGAAAGTAAGAAATTCAGAAAGCCAGGCAAGCCAGAAAAAGAAAGGGGGTAAGTTCATCCTGGCATAGTATACACTCAAAACAGCATAATGAGATCTTTCCGAGACGACATGAGTTAGTCTATCAAACATTAGATTAGGAAAGAGGGGGGGAGGAAAGACACTCCTTGCGGACAAGGAGGAAAGGATGCAAGATAAAAGAAAAATTGGCAATGAAATGAAATCAATAAAAGAAGGATGGGAGTAGCAAAGCAATAGTTGCCCAACTACTCAATTGATCTGCTCGACGGTGAGCCTTCCATCGGTTCATCGTCACCAGGCGACCGAAGCTGTTGGTCCGCTGTGGGTGATACCACGATTGCCGGCGTCAGAGGCGGTTGAGGAAGGGGATCGTCTCCAGATCGAGGACTCGCTGCATCATCCGGCTCCAACTCGGTTCTGGGAGGTGAAATGGGTTCGGGCACGGAGGTGGCCGCAGAGCCCTCAGCGCTGTTATTGCTGGTGCTGCCTCCATTTCGTCTCCGTAACCTGCGTTTCCGACGCTCTTCTTCCGCTGTTTCTCGGCGTCTTCTCATTCGGTCGCCGTCCATGTTATCGCGTAGGCCCTGCAGCATGCTCGCGGCACGGTCTGCCACGTCTTCGCTCTCGGATACATGTTGCGGATCCTTCTTCTTGCTCTCAGAAGATTCCGCTTCGAGGAGGGGAGGACTCAGCAACCCCGATTCGGCGGCATTTGCTTCGCTGTCATTGTCGTTGCCCGCCTTGTTGCTAGTTCCGTCTTCTTCGGCTTCATTCCCTCCTTCCGGCGCTTCAGCTCCAGCAACATCCGGCATCTTCTGGCCAGAAGCAACGCGGATCTGGTGTCGCTCCTTTAGCCTAGCACGACGACGACGGTCACGCTGGTCTCTGGCTTGGGGCGCAGCGGCGCGGAGCTTCTCCAGGAGCGAATCCATGGCCCCACTTGTAGCTGGCGACGGTGGTGCGTCACTAGCAGAGGCGGCGCCATTAGCAAGACCGGCATTGATATTCCGCTTGCGAGCCAAGGACGCCTCGGTGCGTCTCCGGCTTTCTTCCAGCGAAATGTTCTTCTCCTTGGATTTCTGCACAGCCACTGGTTAGCAAACATTCTTAAGAGATACTTGACAATCAAACTTACCTTCCACTCCAGCAAGAAGGAAGCCAGCTTTGCGAAGAAGTCCCGTCGGGCACCCTCATCGGAATTGTCTTCTCCATAGAAGACCATGATGTCATCGTAGGATTTTATCATCTCATCCAAATAGAGCTGCATCTGCTCGGCTTTCCGTCTAGCATCCTTCATGCTCCGCTGAACGATCTGGCTAACGCGATCCTGGGGGTGGAACTTCTTGGGGTCACTGAGATTTCCGGCGTCTAAGCTGGCCTGTACATTCTTGATGTTGTCAATGTACTTCTTTGCATCCGTCCGCAGCTGGTCGACGTTGAGCTTCTGAATAGCGATGACACCATTGATCTCGTCCACGAAGCCTTCCCATTCGGGATACTGGTTACGAACAATGCGCTCCACCAAATCAGCAAAAGTGGTCTCGTTCTTGTCATCCTTGACCATGCCCAGCCGGGCAAGAGAGCTCAGCTTGAAACCTTGAGCCTGCTTGTTGGCGTCGTTCATGAAGTTACCAATGTCCAGGATCAGACCCAGGACGTTCATCAGTGAAACAGAGTCTCTCAGAGATTCGCTGACCTGCACCACTTGTTGCAGCTTGGCGGAGATGTGCTCATAATCCACTTCGAAGGACCGAGTCAGAGCGAGAGCGCGCATTCTCGCCTTCCAGTAGTGGTTGAGCTCGTACGCGGTGTATAGGTAGATCTGATCTTCCCTCGTAAGCTCATTGGGGTCTTGCTCTCGCTCCGCACTAGCAGCATCGGGGCCAGTCCAGTCCCTGCTATAGGGCGCCATCGACTTGGAAATATTCTCCGGGATTGTGCACATTTCGTCTCGCTGCAGGAATTCCATGACGACCTGGTTGTCCAGAATGTCTGTGTCGCAATGGATAATCATGCGCACCACATCGTCGGCGGGGAATTGCGAGAACTTGGCCATTGCGATCTGGAAGTTCTTGGACAACTCGTTGGAGATGAGCTGTTTCTTGTCCTTGCGCTGCTTGGCTGCTGCATTGCCTCCAAAGATCTTGGTCTCCTTCGCCATGAACAATCTTTCAACCTCATCCAACACACCCTTCTTGGCTAACTCTACATATTTCTCTTCCTTCTCCTGTGCAGTGGGAGCGTGAGCCGCCCACACCGTCACCTGTGGAGTATCAACCTTCTCCCAGTGAAGAGCCTTGAGCTTCTTCTTTGGCCGGATAGAGGGCATAAGAGCTGTCTTGTGTTGAGGAAGGGCTTGAGAGGCCATGTAGTTGGCTCGCCATCCGCCAAAGCCTGCGCCAGGAGGAGGCGGGGGAGGCGGAGCGCCAAATGAAGCACCTGGCGGAGGGGGGGGCGGCGGCGGAAATCCTGCACCGCCCGGAGGAGGGGGCGGAGGAGGTGGAGGGGGGATTCCAACCTTTCCTCCCGGCGGCGGCGGGGGAGGAGGGGGCGGGGGAGGGATTCCGACAGCACCACCAGGCGGCGGCGGTGGAGGGGGAGGGGGTGGAGGAGGAATGCCCACAGCGCCTGGGGGAGGAGGAGGTGGTGGTGGTGGCGGCGGCGGGGGTGGAGCGGGCGCCCCCTTGGCCTCGGGCTTCTCGATTTCACTCTCAATCTTGGGTTCGTCGATGACAGGCGCCGTGGCTTCGGGAACGTCAGGTGCGGCTTCGTTGTCGTCCGCGTCGATCTTAGGAACCTTCGAGGCAATTTCTCCAAGGAGGCCGTTCGCCTGCTTAGGGTTAAGTCGTGGCCGATGGAGGTCGACCAGACGCGCCTTCTCGTAGATGATCTCTCCGTTCTCATCCACCTGACCCTCCTGCTGCTGACCCTCGACAATATCCTTCTCCATGCCGGGCAGATGGCTTCGCTTGCGCTGAACAGATCCCAGACCCGCAACGTGATGAACCTGGTCTTGGAACCCATCTTGCGGTCCAACATCACCGTCCATTTGCTCACGAAGTTCACGCAGCCGGTCTGAGGTCACATGTTGACCCCATACCTTGCCCTCCAACTTAAATTGGGTCTTGGTGCGCTCGAGCTGCATCTCCAACCGCTCGAGGAGCTTTTCACGGTCCATGATGCCCCTCATATGGGATGGATCGACTTCTGCGAGGTTGTTCTTCTTTGCATTTGAAGCAGCGATGTCCTGGGCGTCCCGAAGCATCAGGTAGAGCTCTCTAGTTTCCAGTTCGTTCCGTTGCAACTCCTGAGCGCGCAAGCGTTGAACATCGGCGAGCTCGGCCCGTATTGACTCCTCCCGTCTCCGTTGAAGTTCGATGATGCCAGTCTGCTCTTCGATTTGCTTCTGCAACTTCTTCACTAGGCCGTCTGCACCCAGCTCAATCTGTGCCTTCATCTCATCCCGCTCTGCCAAAGCAGCCTCCGCAATCTGGCGCGCTTCTAGGGACTCATCGTACGCCTGTCTTGCCTCTGAATCTGTATGTAACTTATCCAAAAGGCTCTGCACGGTAAATGTTAACCCTTGGCGGAGATCCAGATCAGGTAGCCTGCGGTCCATGGCCACGTAGCTAAGCATGGCGTCGACGAGCTGGTACATCCGGAGACCATCTTCGCCGGAATTCTCCCGGATGAGGAGCATGTGTTGCATAGCAGAGAGAAAGTAGTCGTGAGCTCGAGTACCTGTGATCCTTGACGCAATAGCGTCTGTAATTTGTAGAGGATCGCTCATGTCCTTCACCTCGCCCTCGATGCTATCCTTCACGCTGCTACTCTCGCGTTGCAAAAGATCCTCGTAGTCGATGGCCTCATTCTCGCGGAACCGCTCAATCTGCTTGTCAATGACCTCATATTGGAAGCCTTCCATTTTAGTCATGAGACGCTTGATGCCGCAAGAGGTGAACTGCGCACGAATATGACAGCGGAGCTGCAGATCGTTCTCCGGGGCGTCCACCAACATGTTAATGAGGAGCATGGTTGAGACGGCATACTCCATGAGAAGGTTTTCCATGCCTATACCACCACTGCGGTATTCCTCGCTCGCGCCCACCAGACTACCCATCTTTCCACGGCCATCGATCGTCACTTCGACGATACGCATCCAAGCATCGAAACGACCAGTCTCTCCATGGTGGTTCTTCACATGGTCCATAGCCTGGAGGACCTTCTGATGGCCCTGCCCTTCGGCCCAGTGGCAAAGGAAGGTCAAGACTTCACTGACCAGCTTCCTTGTATTCAGTCGGGGAGACAGCAGCGAGCTGACGAGAGCAACAATAACCTGCTGATGAGCGAGGGCATCATCTGCGCCGTATTTGTTGTTCATCAAAGCCTTTAGGCACTTGACGATATCATATTCACGATCCAGATCCTTGTCACCAGTCGGGGGTGCAGGAACAGGACCAGAAGCTTTTCTCCGGTTGATCTTGGCAAGAACATTTGTCAGGGCAATTTGGCCTTGTGCTTCGACAAAGGCTTTCACCCAACTGATTGGTTGTGTGCGCAGACTGACGCTCAAACTAGCTAATTGTTTCGACGTAATTGAGTCATCCATAACCTTCTTCACGTACCACTCTGGGCTTCCCTCTTCATCGGCCCGCTCCAGAATCCCCGACGGCCCATCATGGCCATGGGTCTGCCGGGCATTCTGCCTGCGCTTTTGTTCGCCTTGAATTTCCGTCAACCGATCTTGATGAACCAGGGTCCACTTTTTCGAGGCTGGATACGCAAGCATCTGCCGCTTGGCCTGCTCGGGCAGATTCTGCCAACCTCGCTTCTGCATCAGTTCGAGGAACAGTTGGTCCACAATGCGATCATCCCTTGGACGGGTCAAGTATTGCTCAGGGTTGCTTGGTAACTTCGCAGGTTGCGCGGGCTGGGCCGACTGCCACGCAGCCTGCGCATTAGAAAGTCGGCTGGAGGTTCCATTGGACGAGTAGGTGTTGCGGTCGGCAGAGTGGGAGGTGGTCAGTGTTCGAGATGAACCGTCCGATGAGAAATAGCTCGAACCTCTAGTGTCCCGGGTATTGGAAGAAAGTGACGAGTGGACACTAGCCTGGTCGAACGATATTCGGGAATGCGACGAGGAATCTACTGTAGATGAAGAGTTGTGACTGAACCCTGTGTTGGCAGCCGAGCTCCCCGGTCGTCCCCATTGTTGATACCGAGCACCTTTGTCCCCCGAAGAGCTTCCCGCCATGGTTACGTTAGACGCATGTGGTGGCGGACGAGGGCCGGTGGGGTGAGAATAAACATTATTGTCCCGGATCGTGGCCGGGTTCCAAGCGGGATACTGATGGAAATCACTGCCTCCCTTGGCAAGATGATTCGGGGACGGTTCTTTGCGTGGCGAGGTTTCGGCTTTGGAGAGATAGTCGATGGGAATCGGCGACTTGGTGTCGGCGGGGAGACTTTCAAAGGGGATGGAGGTAATCACACCTGCCGTCATTGACAGCGCTGCAGGATCGATGTCGTTGGAAAAATCCATGGACTGGACGGAGGATCGTTTGGAATGGCGAGAGGAACGAGAGCCCGGGGCGCTTCCAGGAGGCGCGAGAGTCTCGAAGCCTGTATGGGCATCGTGGCGATCGTCTACCGGTTTCTCCTTGTGCAACTTCCTCCCGAAGAATGATTTCCCAGCGGAAGTCTGTCTCGATTTGTCAGGCGCGGACGTGGTGGTTGGCATCTTGACGGACGTCGCTGGGGAGATGCAGGGCGCAGCATGAGCGTAATCCGCTGGGGCAAGAGCGTTGAGGTGACAGACAGTCGTCGGAGGTTGTAGATTGAGAAGGATCGGTCGCTCTCAGTCTCTGCGAAGGCCAGGATCACATCCAGCTCAAGGCGACAACTTATTCCAGACACTCCTGACTAACACTAATTAATAGCCGCTGCGGAGCAGCGTTGGCACGAGGGGGGTAAAGGATGCCACCAAAGGAAAGACGGACGCTTCTCCCAACAAACAGATGGAGAAGGTGACTTGAAGGAATGACAGTCAAAGGAGCGGTCTGTAGTGACGGCTCCCAGTAGGGCTATCCTACTCTGGCAAATCCCAGGATCGGGCTTTAGTGGCTGGAGTCTTTTTGCACGTCAGGTCGTGGAAGCACGGGCATCAGGGGGGGCAGCACCACTTGAGGCGGCTCTAGAACGCGGTAGGGGCCGGAGGTATCACGTGAATTACACCATTCATGCCTCAGGAAACTGGCCATCACTTCCCGATCACGTGGAGTTGTCGCACGCCGGAGACTCCCGGAGATGCTGTCTGTCGGTGTCAAGATTCAGGGCAAACCCCCGGATTGCTGCTGCTGCTGCAGAAGACCGCCTGGTAAGCCAGCGTTGGGAGACGGTCAGCCTGCCAGTCACATCGGATTACCCTAAGCGCCGTCGCAGGTTATGACAAGCCCCCGCTGCTAATCGGGAATCATTGGCTTAATTTGGCGCCGTGTGTTCGGCGCCTATCTATCTACTTCCTTCCCGCTGCTGCCTTGGCCGCGCATTCTCGAGATCAAGATCCGTTACAGGAAGGGTATTGAGCACCACACGCATACACGCCACGATGGGTTCCGCAACTAATTTTGCCAAAGTATGCGCTCTTCTAGATTCCCCCTGATCTCCGAATTCTTTCTAACAGACACTCTACACAGACCATCATCATCCCCGCCTTCATCTCCCTAACGCTCTACCTCCTCTTCTCCTTCGTGATCATCCCCTTCTTCCGTCGCTATCATCAACGATACTCGCAATATCTCCCACTTCATACTATTTCTGCGCACACTACAACACTCCGGGATCGTATCGCGGATGCCTTAATGCGACGATTCCTCCCGTCGGTTTGGCGACAATCACAATTCGACGATCAGCACGACAACATCAGTATATACGATGAAGAAGGAGAGATTATGGTAGGGATGGACATGGACCCATCACGGCGAGAAGCGCTCGAGCGCCGACGGAGTACAGCCGGGGATGCGGAGAGTCGATTGAGCCGTGAACTCGAAGCGGGGTTCATGGATGACAGTGATGATGACGAGAGACATGCCCATGCTCAGTCACGTCGCTGAATTCTCTCGCCTTCTGTACATATTACATTACCATGTTAAAGGAGCAATTGGCGTTTGGGAAGGGAAATAAATATGATAGACATCTATTCTTTGCTGAACCTTTGCGGTACAGATAAAGCCCAAGGCACGTCTGTCTGAATAAACTCAATGGCACTACTAAGCTACCTGCATGCGTACATAAAACCAATGCATGCACTGATAATCACCTCAAGGGATATCTACTCCGTCCGTCCGAATTTATCTATTTAGTAACTCAATCAACCCACCCCTTACTTCATTCATCTCCAACCCCACGTCACAACTCTGTTCTCCAACACCATCCAACTGACCCCAAACAAACAACCCAAAGAAGAAGGTACATACCCAACTCCCCTTCACATGCAAAGAGATCCTTTAACTTTAACCCAACCCAGCCCGACCTAAAGAGAGACAGAACAAGAAAGAAAGAGAAAGAAAGAGTAGATCACTAAACCAACAAAAGTATATTATCCGAAACTATACAAACTCAATATCTATCTCTCACTCGCGAGGGCAGTAATCGTAAAACTAAAGCAGTATATTTTCCCACTAAATCAGAGGCTGGTCCGTGGTTCTGGCCTGCTGGGAAGTTTGCTGTGGTCAAGCTTTTGTTCTTTTGGGGGATCGGCGCCCCACTCTCTGCATTTATCCTTTTTGCTTGGTGGGGAGTAAGTTGTGGATTTTAAAATGGTATGATGAAGAAGATTGGACCAAAATGACGAGCTGGAATTCGATCCAAGTCCAATGTTGAGATTCGGGACTGGACTAGCTTTGTTTTCTGGAGGGAGGGGGGCCCTTAAACGTGCTAGTCTGCCTGGAGTCCTGTGTTGGTGTTAGGATGATCGCGGGAAGAGTCCGAAGAGTTACAAGTCTACATTAGTACGTGAGACAAATAGGAACAGGAAAAGATTGAACAGTAGGAAAAAGTTTTGATTTCAGGTATCATATGCTAATCATAACGGGAGGAAATAGGCCGAATACAAATCGATCCATGCATCTCATCATCATCGTCTTCCATTTAGGCCTTGTTGCGCTGACCGTAGGCCTTGGTAACGTAGTCACCGCCGTGGACGATGAGGTCCTCGGGGCGGTAGTCGTGGCGGCCGGAGAAGTAGCTCTCGAGGATGGCCTTGGTACCGTTGGCGTAGCGGATTTGGGCATCGATGGAGGTACCGGACATGTGAGGAACCATGGCGTTGCCGCCGCCCCAGGGGCCCTGGACAGTGCGCAGAGGGTGGTCGGCGGGGGCGGGCTGGGGGAACCAGACATCACCACCGTAGCCGCGGAGGTGGCCAGACTTGACGGCCTCGGCGACATCCTCCTTGACGACGATGGCACCACGAGCGGTGTTGACGAGCCAAGAGCCCTTCTTCATCTTGGAGATGAGCTCCTTGTTGAACAGACCGCGGGTCTTCTCGTGCAGAGGGCAGTTGATGGTGACAACATCACACTGGGCGAGCATCTCCTCGAGATTGTCGACGCGGCGGCAGCCGATCTCCTTCTCAACCTCAGGGGCAAGGGGCTGGTAGTCGTAGTAGAGGAGCTCCTTGCAGTCGAAGGGCTTGAGACGGCGGAGGACACGCTCACCGATACGGCCAACGGCAACGGTACCGACGACCTTGCCCTCGAGGTCGAACTCGTTCTTAGCGACAGCGGCAACGTCCCACTCGCCGCGGCGGATCTGCTCGTGGGCGGGAACGAAGTTGCGGACCAGGGTCAGGATGGTCATGACAACGTGCTCAGCGACGGAGACGACATTGCAGCCGGTGACCTCGGCAACGGTGATACCACCATTGGTCTTGTTGGCGGCGTTCAGGTCGACGTGGTCGGAACCGACACCAGCAGTGACGGCGATCTTGAGGTTCTTGGCCTTAGCCAGACGCTCAGCAGTGAGGTAACCGGGGTGGAAGCTGTTGCGGGCAACCAGTCAGCTAATTAGTTCCCGTAGTTGCCAAGTTCCCAGAGCGGGTAACTGTGGGTAGTGGAGTGGGTCACATACGGAGTGGTGATGATGACTTCAGCGTCGACGAGCTCCTTGTCGAAAGTCGAGTTCTCGCCCTCCTTGTCGGAGGTGGTGACCAGGGTGTGACCCTGCTCCTCGAGCCACTTCCTCAAGCCGAGCTCGTTCTCGGTGGTACCCAGAAGACCGGGCTGCTGCTTGGCGTGCTCACCGCCCTATTTGGAGATGGTTAGTTTCTGGTGATTTACGAGAAAGGAGAAAAGTGATGCTATTCGGGTACTTACGTCATAGAGGACCATAAGAATCTTGCCCTGTAGATTCGCGGAGGCGGTTAGCGTACGTGCACCAGCGATCGAGTTAGCCAAAGGAGCAGCCCGGAATGGGCTGCTGGCCGCAGGCGCGAAGGCTCCCTTGGTGGAGAGGAGAGAAGTGGCAGGTCGCCGGAGTTGGCGGGAGAAAGAGCGCATAAATACCATTGTGAAGATGAGTTAAGTGAAATAAGATAAGATGGTTTAAGAGATGGAAGAGTTTGATGCTGGTTATGAGACCTATGGCAGGAGGGTCAGCTTGAGGTTTAAATACATCCCGGATTTGGAGAACGTGGAAGTAATAGTAGTAGATGATGCATCGGATTGCAAAGTCGGGGAAGCCGAATGAGCGGCAAGTACAACAGTAACAACGGCGAACAGGGGAAGAGCGGGGAGACAAGTGAAAGCATGTGTGGAGAAGCAACTATGGATGGCAGGCAAAGCATGCCACAGGGCAGAGCCGATGCTAGATGGATGATGATGATGCAGGGGGTTGGCTTACCGAAAGCGGCGGTGGAGTTTTAGAAACCTTGGAGGGGGATGAGCAAAGTATGATGAGGAGACAAGCTGTGATGCTATGAGATGCAGAGAGATGAGGATGGAATGAGACCGACAAAGACGGGGAATTTAGCCAAATATATAGACTTCACTGGGTCCTCATTTTTCTGTACTATGTAGTAGGTGAGCACCACAATTGCCCCCCTCCATCCCCTCTTGGCCCATATTCAGAAAGGGCTGCTCCATCCACGTCTGCGATAGGATGGGTCAGATCCGGATAGTACGAGGACACCAGGCAGGTAGTAGCACAAGGCCCTCATCTGGGTTGACCCAGCAAGTGGCAGGAGGGAGGGAGGGGAATAGCTTGGGACCCTCCATTCGCCCCGAGTTGGAGCAAGGAACTGGAACCCCACCAGCCAACGATTGAAGTTGGGCGATCGTCCGCCTCGGCGGCAGTTTCGCATCGGCACGGACGACGTTTCGGTCCTGTTTTGTCTCCGCACGCGGGACAACTAGTAGCACATAGACTCACGGATGGTCGGATGGCTCTGGGTTAACTTTGTATAGATCGATACCGTCGAAAGCTTGAAACCCACCCTCGGGCAGTTGACACATTACGGAGTATGTATTGAACTAGACTAGTAGTAGATGAGCCTTAATTGGAAAATGCGTACAGTGTATCATAGCGGTAAAGCAACTTAAAACAATACCAGAATACTATTGATCGTATATCCCCCAACTTCAGTCACAGATTGATTGCCATCCCAACATGTATTCTAATGCACAATACCCTCGCGCCAGGGGGATTTTCCCAAGGCCATGCGGGGTTCCAGAAATCAAACGGCCATTGGGAAAGGAAATACATGCTTATGGGCTCGTGAGGGGAACCCGAGCCTGGGCCGAAAGTTGCCTGCATGGCCGGAGGTATGTCGGGCGTAGAGTTTCTATGGGGAAACGGAAAACCTGCCAGCCTGTCATCAGCAAGTGACAGACAATGCCAATGGACCTTCTTTTTCCTACGGGTATCGTTGAGGGAGGATCTTTTAGCTCAATTCAGTCACTCCTCTATCCACTTTTTCCCATCAAGCGTGTATCCACCGATGTTCTGCGGACAGAATTACTGCTTCTGCTGACTTCTTTTCCTGATTGGGATAGCTGTGACTTCCCCCTCGTGAGGGGTTGGTCTCTGTATCGCCACTATCCCTCATCTGGACTAGTGGGGATGCTGCATGAGGGGTAACCCCTCACCCCAAATGGGAACAGCCAAACAGACAAACTAATAGGAACCGGCCTGGCCATCCACTCACTCCCTGCGAAATTAAGTCGAATTGCTGCTACTGCTGCTACTACTACTCTACTATCCACCCGAGACTCGGAACACCAGGTGCCGTTGATAGCGTGATCTATCTATCTCAGTCTAGTCAGGTCCCTCTTATTTGCCCAAATTGAGCAGCGAGGGGGAAAGAAGAAGGGAAAATGACATGAGGGGACATAAGAATCACTTCTCAAAAGCTCGTCTCTCCGCAGATAAACCCGCCCGTCCGTCCACCCCCCCTAAAAAATGTTCCCTCCATTTGAGGACAACTGAAATTCAAGCACCGAGCGATTTCCGTGTTTCAGCCGGACCATGGGTGCCTTTTGTGCGACCGTGAACAATGGCCCATTCAAGCCATCACAAGAGGGTTAGGAAGACAAGGCAGGACAGACCCGCCTGTCAAATGTTGTCAAGTGTCAGGAATACATCATCTTCACCACCTTGGGCGCCTATGAGGGGAAGCCCGGCTCCACCACCTCCTCACTTTGGGACGGCGCATCGCCTTTCCGGCCACATCACGCGATGGAACCTCGTTGGCCCCAACTTTGAGGGGTAGGATTACTGTTGTTGGGTGGTTTAGCCATGGCTTCCGGACTCACGGAGCTCGACTGATCGAGAAATAGGAAATGCGCGCCTATCCTCGGCGGGCGAACGGCCTCCCAGAATTCTTGTTGGAAAAAGTACCGACACAAAAAAACATTCACACAGTGACCGGCTTACTGACTTCACGGGTCAGGACTGTCGATATATCGCGATCGTCAGTGTCTCAGGGGAGATGGTTACTTTATTTTCGGTCTTGTTGCCTTCTGTCTAATATACATGCATGAGTCTATAGTTACATGCGCTTTTCCCCCGGGAGGATGATTAATGTTTTTACAACAACCGGAGATTCAAGACACTGTAGGGTCCTGCGCGCTAAAACACCACATTCACCAACTTACCGCCCTTGACGACAATCACCCGTCTCCGCTTGTCCCAGTCGTTCTTCTTCCGCAGCCAGAATTGTCCTTCGTCCGTCTCCAAGATCCGATTGATAATCCAGTCTTGTTCCTCCGTGACCGTGCCGCTAGCTTCGGGCGCGGTCGTGGGGGAGAGCCGCCGGGGGATCGTGATCGTAAATCGCAACTTGCCATTGATCTGGACGGCGACCACTTGGCCACCGCGCGCAGACAGAATATCGGCCTCCTCGGGCTTCAGCAGAGGAGTTGGCCAGGGACAGTCAAAGATGGCGGGGACATTGGTGGATGGCTTCCCCGCAGTCACGGGACCATTGAGGATCTCCCAACATTCGGACGCCAGCGCGGGCGCGATCGGCGAAAGCAGCCGGAGCAGGGAAGAAATAGATAGGTAGAGGACCTGCGGTGAACTGGGCGTCGACGACGACAACGAGTTGGTCAGCTTGGTCAGGTCGGAGATGACAGTGTTCAGCCCGTATGGATTTTTCTCAATACAGCTCGTGACAGAGGAAATGGTGCGGTGGGTGGCAAGCACAGCGTCCGCATCACTGTCGCTCAGATCCTGTAGAGAGCTGGGCAAGCCGGTCGCGTGGCCGGAGGTGGCTTTCAAGTCGGCTGGCTGCAGTGTAAACGAGAACGAAGCCAGGCTCTGCTGCGCATCGTTCACCAACTTCCAGAGTCGACCAAACCAGCGCTCAATGCCCACGATCTTCGTTTCGTCCCATTCCAGCACCTCGCTGACCGGAGCCGAGAAAAGGACATGGGCCCGAGTAGTATCGGCACCGTATCTCAACGCACATCCGGTCGGATCGACTCCGTTGTGCTTGCTCTTGGACATCTTCTCAAAGGACACATTGGGCGTGATTTGGGTGCCCTTGATCAGTGGCTTGTCGGGGCTGGAAAGATCCACTTCGGAGGGGTGCAGGAATCTCCCCGTAGACGGCTCCGAATACGTCCTGCCGTGGACCATACCTTGGGAGAGGAGAGTCTTGAATGGTTCAAACGGCGTCGCAACGTTTCCAGCTCGAGCGATTTCCGGGAATAGTTCGGACTGGGAGAGGAACTTGTAGATGAATCGGGCATATAGCAGGTGCAAAATTGCATGCTCAACACCGCCGATGTAGACATCCACCGGGCGCGCAGCCGACGGCGAAAACGGCTGTTCCTTGTTCTTCGGGTCCAAGAAACGAAGGAAGTACCATGAAGAGTCGACAAAGGTGTCCATGGTGTCCGTATCCCGCTTAGCAGGCCCGCCACAGCTCGGACATTTCGTGTTCACCCACTCATGGGATGACTCGAGAGGATTTCCTCTCTTGCCCTTCAGCCAGTCCCCTTCAATCTTGGGCAGCTTGACTGGGAGCTGATCATCTGGCACAGGTACAGGGCCGCAATCGCCGCAGTGGATAATCGGGATGGGAGCCCCCCAGTAGCGCTGTCGGCTGATCAACCAGTCTCTAAGCCTCCATTGCTCGACAAAGTCACCGCGTCCCACCTGCTTCAGATCGGTGACGATCTGCTTCTTGGCCTCGCGAGAGTGAAGACCCTCGTACTTCCAGCACAAGGAGTTCAAATATCCCTCTTGCGTAAAAGCCTTTGCATCCGCGGAGGGAACGATGCTCGCGTCACCACCGTCTGCCCCGGCTTCCCCTTGGGGTCCAACGACAACGGGTATGGAATCGGGGTTCACATTATCTCTGAAAAATGCAAGGTCTCTAGCATCGTGGCCTGGGACTCCCATCACTGCGCCCTCACCGTAGTCGCTAAGGACGTAAGGCGCCGCGAATACAGGCAACTGACGGGCGACATGGGGGCTCTCCTTGTCAATAACATGCAGAGGGTGGGAAGCAGTGACAGTAGACAGTTTGTAGCCAGCTTTAGAGTCGGGCGGAAGCGACGCGGCGGTATCCAGAAATTTGCGCAGTTCCGGATCCTTCTTCGCCGCCTCCAGGACAATGGGATGATCCAGAGAAAGAGCGAGGTACTCGACTCCGTAAAGAGTATCTGGTCGCGTGGTGAAGACATCGATATCGATGTCTGTGCCATTATTGCCATTGACGGCCACAGGGAACTTGATCTTGGCACCCTGCGATTTCCCAAGCCAATTCCGCTGCATGGAAAGAACGCGCTCCGGCCAGCCGCCCGCCAAAGAGTCGAGATCCTTCAGGAGCATCTCCTTGAAATCCGTGATACGGAAGAACCATTGCTTCAACTTCAGCTTCTCGACCTTGGCTCCCGAGCGCCAAGAGAAGCCATTGGCATCGACCTGCACCAAGAGTGAGCCTTTTGAATCCCGTGTGTAACCCATTCCATAGCACCCACCTGCTCATTAGCCAGCACCGTCTTATCAACCGGGTCATAATTGACTAGCGCTTCAGCCTGGTATGCGAGGCCCTTCTCATATAGCATAAGGAAAATCCGCTGGGTATGTTCGTAGAACTCCGGTGCGCACGTTGCTAGTTCCTGCGTTTGACAACCAACATGTCAGCAAAGCTGGTAATCACATAGCTTGCACACTCAACACACATACCCGATCCCAATCGAAAGAGGTTGAAATACTTCGTAATTGCTCTTTCATCTTTGTTATATTCGACTCGGTCCATTCCGCGGGGTCTATCCCCCGTTCAATCGCCGCATTCTCCGCCGGCAAGCCAAACGCATCCCAACCCATTGGATGAAGGACCTCATGTCCGCGCATCCGGTAAAACCTAGCCAACACATCGGAAATAGTGTACACGCGCAGGTGCCCCATGTGCAACGTCCCGGAAGGGTAGGGGAACATAGATAGGATGTATGATTTGGGTTTTGCGTCTCCGTCCGCCGATGTCTTGGAGGGCTTCTTCAAGGAATCTGTTTGCCATCTTTCCTGCCACTTCTTATCCAAGGCCAATAAATCGAGCTTATTGGAGATTGAGGTTGCAGATGCGGTGGTTGTCGCATATCGAGAGGGAACAGCAGTCGGTCGTAAAATCGGACGGGATGCGCAGTTCCATCGGGCTGGGTGTGGGAGCACCGACCGTGTCGGGCTCAATCGAAAACGTAGTAAGGATTGCATGTTGGTCGTATAATCATTATGCCGCGGGGGAGGAGTGTCGCGCCATTGACTGGCGTGGATTGGTGGGTTGGAGAGCTGGCAGTGGTGGCATCTCCGTCAAGATTTCTTGATCGGATGGCTGAAGTCATATCGGCGGATCGGCATCGCCCGATAGGGAATAGTGTCAGGGAACAAGCAACATTTGGAAGACACATGAGATTGTCAGACATCAGTCAATCGAAAGTAATATGCTATTCAAAGCCGGTTGTAGCTTTTATATGATATTTGCCTCGAACATCCCGTGAATTTAATAGTAGTATGTATAAATTTTATGGGATGGCTACTACTAGGAGCATCTATTAGTTACTCTATCCTGCGGGAATATATAATCGCAGTTGGCGACAAGGAAGTATTCAGACTCATAAAATGCTTGAATTGAATATAAATACTATAAGTGGTAAGCAGTCCACTAGTTCACACATGACAGACAGTAGAAAGACAATAACCAAAACGCATCTCATGAGATCGGTGACAGTCCCATACTATTCATATACTGGTCTTGCACGACACTGCGAATGTAGCGTAAGCTTGGATTGAAACTGCAAGCCGTTGGACCCCTACCAGTGCGAATACTCCGATGTACACTGCTACCCAGCATAAAGCTCTGGACTCAATTAGAAAAGAACTCGTAAGTAGCTGGTTGGACTGGAGCACCATCATAAAAGCCAAATTATTGGCTATGTACTTCCAACAACACCTGTTCTAGCTATGATATCAGACCACCTCGCAGAGACTCATGACGAGAACAGCAAGAATGCGACCAATAATGATGGGGTCTCTATCGTCTAAGTTCGAGTGACCGCAGGCTCGGCAGGTACCCGTTGTGCCTAGAGACTTTAGTAGTATCTAGAATTCTAGATTCTCGCACCCATCCGTTGGGCTCGGAGACTTGCCGTAGTCTAGTTGGATTCTCGAGCTCCGACTCGCCATCCACCCACAGCATGCATTGGAAATCCCGTCCGCATCGCCAAGATTGGATCTAGATAGAGCTTCTCGATCCCATCTGCTTCTACTGGACCAGACCCTTTCTTTAGACGCGGGATCTTGAATCTCATGGCCCACGTATTCACGAACACCCGTTCCACGGAATCACTCCCTGAAGAATTTAAGGAGGCGGCCTAGACATTCCTACTGAGTATTTACCTACAGGGCTCCACTCACGGAGTACTCCGTGCGAATTTCCAGATTGATCAGGAGCAGAATCTATTTCTGACTCAGTTTATGAAGGCCCGGTTGCTGGGATCAGCCACCCTCGGCCCGGAAGGTGCTGCATACGGAAACTGACCTCCTTTTTTCTTTCTCTTTTCCAGAGTGAATCATCTCTTATTCGGATGGCGGCTCCTATAGTTCTTCCATTTAGGGGTGAATGCACAAAAAGGAGAGCTATTGTAGGGGAAATGATCTTATCCTTGGTGTTCCATATTGCGGCTGAAGGACGGATAGACGCTCTAGAACCTTTTCATCATCACTCTCGTATGCGTAGGGACTACCGGGCTATTCATGGGACTCTAACCGGCCCTTCATATAGATGACCAGCAAGCCACAGCACGCCGGCAATTTATTCCATACATGGTGGTAATATAGAAGCTGTGGACTTTATTCCCGACGCGTTGATGACGCTCGTGCTGTGCAGAGCTGTATGATCCATATATGGCCAACAGTGGGGGTAAACACGAGCCGGAGTAAACGACGAAGCGTACCGAGGCAAAGATAGATATAGGGGAGCCTGCATCGCCTCGAAATGCGTAGATCGATCGGCAAAGCAGTCTATTTTTTGACCATTCTGTCGGAATTGCTCATCCGTCGTCATTGATTTGATTGCCGCACGCGTGGAAAGGGAGCAGAAGAGTCATTCGTGCCTGAATGCCCAGGCAAGAATCAAGGGGTCACGGGCGGCAAGTAGGAATCTCGGGATCGGACGGATTTCTCCCCTTTTTCTTTTCTCTCCACCGAAGCTCCCGCCCGGTTCGAGGATCGATTGATTTGAACCCAGAGCTTCTGCTGGCCGTTCCCGCTTCGATCGTTGGATCCGGTGGGCGGAGCGGAGATGAATCCCCATCTTTTTCTGTTCACGAACCATGGGTTCAGGGTTTCCATTAGTACTTAGGAATATTCCATCCGTGTCAGCCATGTCTTGAGACCATAAAATCGTCATCTCTTCTTTCCTTCCCCCCCACCACCCACCGTCACCCTTGGGCAAGGTGATTAATATTAAGCAAGTATGGTAGCTCATCTCGCTAATGCAAACCGGCTTGACAGAGACTCCACTTGGGATGAGTTGGCAACCTTAGAAACTGGGTTGATCCTTAGCTCTCTCTGCCTTTCAGGATTTCTCTCAATTGGCCCCTATCATTGGGCTTGCCGATGACAAAAGGACCAAAATTCCCCTCTCCACTGCCAATGAGACCTTCTGGAATGGCCGGCCTACCATGACCCCTCAGCCACATCATCTCAGTGGATCTCGATCGCCGGTTCCTGTCGTCCTCCCCCTCGAGGTCTCGCACTCCACTGGTTGGACTGGTCACAATCGGAATGGATGCCTCGTGGGACCGATGGGAAGGATACCCCAAATGTGACGAGTAGTACGTACCTGAATTTTGGTAGGTATCTACAGGTGGGTGGGAAAGTAATCGTGCCTGCGGCACATGCGCTGCAACTATTATGTACGACGGCGAGACCTTGCATTTCAGCCGTGGGGAACTGCGTCCCAACCAACCTACTACGTGCTCGTCTTTCTTGTTCCTGCATGCTGGAAGGTTAGGGGAGGATGATTGTGTCTGTCGCCTGTGGGCTGAGTGAGGATCGAAAAGAGCCTGCCTGCTCTCCGGGAATAATCAATCACTGCACTCTTTTAGTCTGGGTTTGTCCTAATTTCTCAGCCCGAGGATATTATTAGAGCAACACACCATCACCACCGGAACAAAGCACCACAGACAACTGGATATCATGGGAGGGCTCTAAAATCAGCATAATTTCGTATTCCGTGGACAGCATTATTATGAAGGAACATATTATTATTAGAGTTGATTGGCGATCGGGGACCTTCTGACCCTACTCCTATGTCTTGGAATATGACGAGGAAAGGCGTTCTGGAGCCCAAAGACAGAGCTTACGAGAACTAGTTCCAGACCCTCCTGGCGGCCATCCCGCGATCCCCGTTTAACTTAGCCAGGCGAATTGGGAGGCGGGCGTCTTTCCCCAATGCAGGTGGACAAGCGACGAGCTGCAGGACCATTCCTTATCCGCCAATCGTGCGGTTTCAAAGCGGTGCTCTAAAGCATGCAGCCTGCAGCGCCCCTGGATCGTCCATCGTCCATTGACTGGCCGTTCACACCGCCGCTGCACAACTGGCTGGCTGGTTTGAGTGGGAGGGCCGAAGTCCGGGGCTCCTTTAAATATTACTACGCCCGGGCTCGTCGTTTCAGGTGGAGGATCCCTTTGCTTCCACTCGTTGTGCCTTTCTGTCGCTCTTTTGGAACTGGTTTGCGGTGCTTTTCTGGTCTCGGGTTAGACGCTCTTTTTCTGTTCTTCGTTCTTTTGGTTGCGAACCTGTCCCGCCGGTCGACATGACTCGCTAATCTCAACCTACTGGCATTTTTTTTCTCTATCGGATCCACTCACTCTCTTTGGCTTCGTGTGCCGTTGGACAGCGTTATCCGCTCTCTTCCCGTCGTTTTGTGTCGAGGCATTCTTTATTGCATCATAAAATTCTAGACAAGCAAACAATCACTATCACCACAACAAACATCAACTGGGCACTGTTACTCTTCTCTCCCCCCCGTTCACCCTCGGCGGCCATTGCTCGCCCTGAGACGTGCCCCTCGGTGGTGGTCCTTGTTGCGGTTGCTGTTGCTATTACTCTCATTTCCCAAACCAAGCAGTCGTCGATGATCATTCTCATCGTTTTGAATCTGGTGTTCTTCTAGATCTCTTCCCCCTCCCCTCCTCCACTTCCCCCGAAGTGCCTTATAGAGCGGGGGTGCTCTTTGCTTATCCGCTTTTCGTGATCTTTTTGTTTTTGTTCTCTCAGGACCTTCTGGGGAACTCCCATCCTTTTACAAGTCTTAATCTTGGTGTCTACTGACTGATAATGAACTAATAATCCCAACATGCGCTCAGCTGCACCGACCTCGAACTCTCCCAAACGGAGAGCTCTTCATGAGCGCACCCCTTCCCATACGAATGAGAACTCCCCACCTTCATCCTTGCGAGCCGTCAGCGAAAAATACAACGATCAGCAGGAACCCGACGTGTACACATCCACGCCTTACCCGACAAAGCCGGAGCAGATCCTTTTACCGCGTCCTGGGAAAGGCCAAGATTTCATTCCGGACTCCCGGTTCCATGTCGACGAAGCGCCGGATCACTATCACGGGAATACCTCCACGGAACTCAGCCACCTCGCCGATAGTAGTTTGATTGACCAGTCGGTTAGCGATCCCTGGGACTTGTCTTCAACATTCGATGCCGCCAACACCCCATCGCAGGTCTGGGAAGACGATCCGTCCTCCAGCAAGTCTTCCTTTCCGGAGCCTGTCCTTCACGACCCCAAGCCGACCGATCAGAAATCGGATCAAGGTTCCGTCGCCGCGTATTCGGATGAGGAGCCAAACAGCCTGCCAAGAGCCGTCCCAACTATTAAAACCGTCGTATCGCAGACGCCGTCACGGGTTCCTTCGGGCCCGGAGACTCTTGCTTCGAGCAACTCCAGCCCCAATGTAGTGCCGATTGGGCCGCCTTCCAGTCCGAATTTCGTCGCGCTCGACAGCTCAAGTCTGAACTTCGTTCCTCTGGGTGCATCCTCGAATTCGGCCTCGATCACCCGCTCTAATTCCCTGTCCTCGTTAAACTCTCTGGGAACGGTGATCCGGTATATTGGAGCCGCTCAGTGGACGCATGGCTCGTCTTCAGAACACTCCAGCTCGCGCTCGCGTTCGCAATCTGTCCGCTCGAACCCTCCATACCAGGTGCCTTCAGTGCGATCCAATTCAACACGAGCACGGGAAAGGAGTCACTCTCGCTCTGTCACCTCGTCGTCGCGTAGCGGGCCACCGTCAGACATTCAAGCCATTGTTGACAGCGGCGTATTCATCCAATACCCGACCATCCAGGCGCCATCTTCGTCAAGCTCCAGAGTTGACGTGTCACATTCGGAAGAAGATGCATCGGATCAGAACCCACAAGAACCCACCACGGATTATTCTTCGGAGCATTTCAGAACTCACCTGTCAACCGTTCCTTCCATGTGGTCCGCCGAATGTGACTCGAGAAGCATTTCTCCGGCCGCTGATTCTATTGATAACAGCCAGATGGATCCTAAACGGCCTTCCGCGGCGCTGGTCCGTCAACGCCCCACGTCGTCTTCGATGTGGTTAGTGAGCGATTCGGACGGTGATGAGCGGATGGACAATCTTTCGAGCTTGCCAGCGCGTCCCACAAACCCGGCAGTTCCCTGCAGTGTTTCGTCGGAGTCAAGACAGAGCAGCATGCGGAGCAACATGCGACCTCCCACCAGCGGAAGCTTTTCATTCCACTTTTTGCCAAATTGGGCCAAGATGTACTATGGCGCCGGCGAGCAAGCTGAAGATTCGGTCTTGTCTGGCGCGGAACCCGATCGGCCACCGTCTGCGCGCGCCTCAACCTCCCACACAAATGTTCTCAACCGTTTACCGACCGCTACCAGCCGGACGAGGACGAGGACGTTTGGCAGCGAAATGCGAGAAACTCTGCGGTGGAAACCCGACCCGCGTGATCCACGGAACCACTGGGTAAGGGAACCCGAATCGCAGAGCCGGGAACCATCCCGCCATCGACTTCGACACAGCTGGTCCCCTCATCTGTTTCCCGACCGGCGCGCGGTTAATCCAAGGAGAGGTACCTGGGGTGCACCGTCGCTGGATTCAAGAACGGAACCACTACTTGGCCGAAGAAACATCCAAGTGTGGTCGTTCTGTGTTGGTTTTGTGTTTCCTCTCGGTATGGCCCCATCGTGCTCCATGATAGTCGCCTGAACATGTCAACTGACTGTGTACACTAGCCTGGCTAATTGCGTCATTCCTCCCCTTACCGACGAAACCGGATGCTATTCCGGAGGACGACGTCGAGTCACAGCTCGAAATGACGCTTAGAATGCGCTTGTTCGATCTGGAGACAAGACGACATGAAAACGCTCGGTGGTGGAGAAATCTCAACCGTTGGATGAACCCATTGGGGTTGGTGATTATTACCATTGTGGTATGTTATCCTGTTCACTTTATCTTGGGTATTCAATGCTCATCCTTTCGCAGATCACCTTGGCTGTTGTGGGCACCACAGTGGGCTTCTAGACGGGTACATCTGGCTTCTATAGCGTCAGCATGCCCGCAACTAGCTATGCTCTTCTATCCACGACCCCCTCGATTATTGCTTGTACTACCATTACCCCCCCTTTTCACGCCCTCTCGCCGGCTATGCCGGCGCCTGTTCTCGATTGGATCGATCTTTGCTTTCACCGTTCGGAATCGATTCCTCCATTTATACCCCCCTTCTTCTTTTGCATGCTACCTGCCCCCCACCCATACCCTTGCGCGCTTGATATTGCCGCATTTCTATTCCCCTGCGGCTGCTTGGTTTGTTTACCTTTCTCAAAACACTCGACACGATTGGACGACGTAATGCTTCTAATGTTCTTTTCTTTTGTGCCTTATATTCCACCTGGTGTTTTGGACTCTGTTTCAGCCCGCCCTTGGACCATTATTTGGTGAACAAACAATGGGGTGGTTCAATCTGGGAGCGTGAGGCGACGGATTTAATTAAGGGTTCACGACATTGCATGGATATATGTCATTTTCCTTTTACTTTTTTTGTTTTCCTATTTTCCTATATCTTCCCTTCTCCCCCATGTACTTATGGATACATGTTTTACTTATGACACCGTGACCAACATTATCACAGTATATATACAAGTGGTCGTCGCGCTCTGCGTGGCTGCTCTTGACCAAAAATAGACAATATATGATATTATACTCCTCGAATACTCTGTAGACTCATTGTTAATTGGTATGATTATAGACAATTCCGTCAGACTGAAGAGAACAGGAAGTTGCTGAAAATACTCGTCTGGCTTCAACTAAGCAAAAGAAAGTAAGACTTGCTCATTACGCTTATTGTCGGAGACTTCGTAGCATATAAGTATGAACGAATTGAAAGTGTACGTCAGCGCCGGAAAGCATACATAATAGAAGAATAAGAATCATAAGGATGCCACTCATCCCAAAGGAGCACCAACAACGAGACAAGTATGCGCAGCCGCTTCGGAGCAGTAAAAAGTCTAATATACATTCTATCGTCAACCCCATCAATCGTTCTCATTCACACGTGTCGAATTAGTTGGCTCTAAGCCAGACTGGTAGCAGGTCCTGAGACCTGGAGTCTTAAGACCCCTTTTTTTTTTTTTTTGGATTTGGGTCACATGGGAAGTCACAGGATCCAGATGATCATGTGAGCTTGCGGCCAATCTTGCTTTCCACGACTGCTTTCAGCTCTTCTCCAGTCGGCATGGTAACGGCACTGCCGCGTCTGCGCCTGGCTTCAATTTCACCCCGGATCTCCTGCACGGCCTCATCAAAGGCCTGAACAGCGTCACTTGGAAGACCTAGTGTTGGCTGTTGCAGGGTGTCGGAGCTGGTTGAGCGTGTGACATGAGGCCGGTTGCGGGCCTTGAGCTTCTTGATGAGGATGCCCTTGGCGGGGCTGGCAAAGAAGGCAATGCTGAGGAGGTTGCCGACGATCCCGTAGAAGTAGACGCTCTGCCAAACGCCGATGGACTTGCTAAATCCGAGGAAGATGAAGGGCATCACCGTGAAGGACAGGGTGACTTGAGTCACGAACCAGCTCATAATGTCATAGTAGCGCTTGTAGGGAGTCGGCTTGCTCCCGTCCGGAGTGAGGAAGAACGGGCGTACATAACGACGGAAGTCTGCGCATTGTCAGTACGGGAAATCAATGCACGGGTGGGTTAACCAGGTGAACTCACTCTTGGCTCCCGTCTGGATGAACGATCCAAGGATGAATGTCAGATAGTATCCCGGGTAGAAACCATGCCAGAAAGCGCTGGTCGTAAACGTGGCCAAGCTGGCGCGGAAGCCCGGCTTCTTTCCCCTGGGGGTGACGCGCAAATAGACATAGTTTCGCAGCCAATGGTTGGTGTTCTTGTTCCAGCTGCCCAGATATCCGTGGGAGTTTTGCGCGGTCTCAAGACTCCAGGGATCGATATTCTCCAACCGGTTCCAGAAGACCTTGCCGGACTTGGGATCGAAGCCATTGTATCCCATGCCAGACAGGATACAAGCACCTTCCGTCAGGGACCAGACGCCGTAGTACTTGAGGCGTGCGGTTAGCCCGACCATGTGCATGATCCAGACCCGTCGAGGGAAGGAGTAGCCCATGTATCTGGGACTCAGGATGGTTTCTTGATTGTAGTAAGACCCCAGCTGTAGGAATGCCAGGATCCATGCCAGTCCAACCAGGGCCTTCTTCGTGGCAGGAGTTCCACTGCGAGGGATCTTGCGCTTCTTACGGGTCGGGGGCACCTTCGACGGGTCGGTACCCGGGGGGACTTCGAAAAGAGTAGTGTCGAGCCAGCGACGGTAGTCGACGTATTCAAAGGACGGACCACCGAAAAGAGCCGGGAAGAATAGCACGTAGCCCATGTAGTCCAGGATGCTCGGAAAATGCGTAATCGCGGCATATTTTTGAGGATCTGAGAGCTGGTTTTGGGGAAGTCGACCATCATGAACGTTCCAACAGAAAGACGTGAGCTTCATGACCAGGACCATCTGGGCACCAGTGATATCAATCGCTTGAGGATCGTTGACGATCTGGCGGTAGATGTGGCTGATGGACATGTGGCCCATCAAGAAGATGAAGCCGATCCAGGGCATCAACGATCCATCAATGTAGTAGGCGATCAGATAGGTACCGGCGGCGCTATAGAACAAAGTGCGAAGGCCATCCCATAGGTCGAAAAGGCCAACGAGATAGAACAAGGAAACGGCAATGATGAAGGCATTCTTCTTCCAGGGTTGAGCGTCGGGGATTCTCTTCAACAGACCGGCGAGGGGGTAGGAGAGGAGGAATGACGCAATGAGCTTCACTGTTCAGCGGTGAGGGACTGATTCGGGGGACGAAGAAGGGCCAGGACGGGGAGGGAGAGGCATACGCTCATCAATCGAAGCTCCAGTCGCATTGGCTGGATACTCAAAGACTAGAAAGAGAGCCTTTTAGCATGATCTTCACGCAGGAAAGAGGGGCGCGCATTCTCAAGTGCTGCGACGGAAGGTTCACAACATACTTTGATTGATAAATGGTAACATGGTGGATGCAAATCGCCGCAAAGAACGGGCAGTAACAAGAAAAGGAAAAAGTTTAAGTCACCAAGGCCGATACTTAACTGTGTCGGCACGACATCGAGCCCAGAGATGAAATGGTTGAAGGGCTGGGAAGAAGCAAAGGGGAAAACAAAAAAATAAGGGCGGGCGGGAACGAAGAAATGAAACGGTAACTATCTCAACGGTCTGATATCACATGGCAGCTCTCCGATCATCTGCGTGTCTCAACCAATCCACCCGCCCTCCAAGTCAACTCACCCTCCTCTGATCTACCACATTTTGGATGCCGATGTATCATCTCCCGTTTCCGATCTTGAGAGTCTAGAATCATTTCCACGGATCTGCTAGACCAACCTTCTTCGTTTTCCTCCTCTTGCCCCTCTCTCCACACCTCACCCCCTCATTCAACATGGATGTCGTCGCGGCGGTGTCGGGTTACATCTCCAAGATGGTCACCGCGGGGGACCCTTCGCCGACAGGTGGTTCCAGCTCTTCATCGGCCAAGATGAAGATATTGCTTCTCGACAGTGAGACAGTGGGACTTGCGATTCTCTCATTGATCCCTGTGGAAGCTGTGCGCTAATCCAACGGCTCCAGGTACCCATTGTGTCCACCGCCATCACCCAGTCCGCTTTGTTGAACCATGAAGTCTACCTCATCGATCGCCTCGATAATGCCGCTCGCGAACGTATGCGACATCTCCGCTGCCTTTGTTTCGTGCGCCCTTCCCCCACCTCCATTCAATTCCTGATCGACGAGCTCCGCGAGCCCAAGTACGGAGAATACTACATCTACCTCACCAATATTATTCGCAAATCCTCCCTCGAACGTCTCGCCGAAGCGGATTCCCACGAGGTAGTTCGCGTGGTGCAGGAACACTTTGCCGACTTCCTTGTGATCAATCCGGATCTCTGTTCCCTGAATTTGGGCTTCCCACAGCAGCGCTTGTGGAGCCAGTCGCCAGATCTGTGGAATGCGGATGCCTTACAAAGAGCAACGGAGGGGGTCATTGCCATGTTGTTGGCGCTGAAGAAGAATCCGCTGATCCGTTACGAAAAGAACAGTCTGCTAGCGAAGAAGTTGGCCACAGAGGTCCGCTATCAAGTGACGCAGGAAGAGCAGCTCTTCAATTTCCGCAAGACCGATACACCCCCGATCCTGTTGATTTTGGACCGTAGAGACGACCCCATCACTCCGCTACTGACCCAGTGGACCTACCAAGCGATGGTGCATGAGTTGATGGGCATTCACAATGGGCGCGTGGACCTCCGGGACGTACCGGAGATTCGACCGGAATTGCGTGAAATCGTCCTTTCCCAGGATCAAGATCCGTTCTTCAAGAAGAATATGTACCAGAACTTTGGTGATCTAGGCCAGAACATCAAGGAGTATGTTGAGCAGTACCAGGTCAAAACGCAAAACACGATGAACATCGAGTCGATTGCGGACATGAAGCGCTTCGTGGAGGACTATCCCGAGTTTCGTAAACTATCGGGCAATGTAAGTAAACATGTCACACTAGTGGGGGAGCTGAGTCGGCGCGTGGGTGAGGATGACCTGCTCGACGTCAGTGAGTTGGAGCAGAGCTTGGCTTGCAATGACAACCACGCCAATGACCTCAAGGTACGTGGACTCTTTTTTCTCTCTCCGGGACGGAGCTTGCGCCAGACCAGTTGTTGACACCATCTCGTGCAGAACCTACAACGAATCATTCAACTACCTAGCGTTCCTGCAGAGAACAAGTTGCGCTTGGTTGCTCTGTACGCCATCCGCTACGAGAAGCAACCGAACAATGCACTCCCGATCCTGCTCGATCTCCTCGTCACCGCCGGCAACGTCCCATCATACAAGGTCAACATTATCCCTAAACTCCTCGCCTACCACCACTCCTTACAAGCCCCGCCGGTCGCAGGCGGCTTTTCTGACCTCTTCGAATCCACATCCCTCTTCTCCGGTGCCCGAGACCGGTTCAAGGGTCTGAAAGGCGTCGAAAACGTCTACACCCAGCACTCGCCTCGCCTGGAAGCCACTCTCCAAAATCTGATTAAAGGACGCCTGAAGGAGCTGCAATACCCGTTTCTCGAAGGCGGGGGCCATACACGAGACAAGCCCCAAGATATCATCATTTTCATGGTGGGCGGGGCGACGTATGAGGAAGCGAAAATGGTCGCCCAAGTCAATGCCAGCTCACCTGGAGTAAGAGTCGTCTTAGGAGGCACCTCCATTCACAATAGCACAAGCTTCCTTGAGGAAGTCGATGATGCCGTGAGCGGCTGGCCTGAGCCCGCCCCCTCGTCCGCCGCTGGTCGGCTTCAGAGGGCAGTCGGACATTAACCTCTGCTTTGCTTCTTTGCTTCTGTGTATCTGTAGCTTCTTATTATAATATATCCTGAAATCTTAGCTGTTAGTCACTTTCATGTCTGTCTCATGAGTTTGTTCCGCAGATTGTTATCATTAATCTGCAAACACAGGAAATGAGGCCACCTCTGCCTTGAGGTATTTGAACAGAGTATAGTTATGCTTCGTGTATGGTATCCCAAGCCAATCCGGCCAAGCTGCGTGCATAGCTAGTTCATTCTATTAACGTGGCACAATACACAACAGTAACGACGCTCTATCCTGTAGATACATACCCGCTATTTAACAGGGTGTTCTTCGCGTAAATAGATATGCGAAAGGAGAGGAGAGAAAAAAAAGAAAAAAACAAAAAGAAAAAAATAAAGTAGGAAAGAAAGAAAGGATGAGAGGCGCACAACTAACTCCCTACATGATACATGATTCATCCGTTGTCGTATATACATTTGACAGAAAGAAGGTGGTCGGAATAAGGAAAGAGAATACAGAACAAGAAAAACAACATTTGAAATGTACATATACACAAAGCGCGCTCTCTCTCTCTATGTCTGCATTTACGTCGTGATTAAAATAGTGTTTCCTGTGGCGGAGAATGCAACGAATATAGACAGAAAGAAAAAGATAATGCTTGCTGAAATGACAAGAACCTCCCCATTCCCTCTTCTCTCACACCACTAAATCCTTATGAGAAGCGTTTCAGTCATGAGCATTCATAATGCAAGTCTCCTTAGCGTGCCATATTCGTCGTTTCTTGGCCACATCTGCCCCAAAAGTATCCGTGATGATACCATCGTCATCATGGAAAGCCGCCTGGGCCTGTGCGGGTTTGGAAGTCTCGGACTCGGACTCGGTCGCCGGCTTCAGCAACCGTAATTCCTCGACAGTTGCACCGAATTCATACTCTCCTCGGCAGAGAACGGTGACGCCAACAGTCGCCGTGGTGCTTTCGCCGCTATGCAGGATGGGGAGGACTTGTTGGAGCATCCCGGTCCATGCGAGGCGTCGCGACAGATCTAATGCTATGTTGCTAGGTTGGTGACGGAGGCTGGGTTGAAGGCGGAGTAGAGGGTGGACGGGCCGCGAGGAACGATTGAGGACGGTGACGGTGAGGTTGAGCATGTCGTCGGTTTGGACATCGTATTTTGAGCGCCCTGTTTGTACCACGCTCTTTGTGTCACTGGGAAAAGCGGGTTCGAGGGAATATGTCACACCAACGTCTTCTAGCCGGAAGAAGTCAACCATGCGCGCGTTCAAGCGAAGGTTGCGCAGATCGACTATTCCTTCACGGATGCCTGTCTTCTCTTTCCAGAACCCGCAAACTCTCTCGAGAATCTCTTCCCGGTACCAGAATGCCTCGCGTGTCGCTGCCTCGGCTTCGAAAGTGAGCTTGTTGGCACTTACGACAAACTGCCGCTTGACTCCGGTGTTAAGGATTGGAATAGATGCATGTGGGTTGTCGAGATAGGCTCGAGGGAGGACAAGCACAAATCGTGACATCTGGCCTGGCTGGAGCTCTCCGTGAACAGTGTATTTGCCCTCTCCATCCTGGGGCGGTTCTGGAGGCCATTGCATGTCTGATTTCACTGCCTTCTCGCCGACATGCAAGGTGACCGACAAGGCATTAGGCCAGGCATTGCGAAGATCGAGGAGAAGAATACAGTGATCAGGGCCGTATCCACCCCGGGCGAGGTGGGAAAGCACAGGTGAGAACGGATCGCCATCCGCGGATGGGGGTAGAACATTGGTGCTGATCTGGTCAGGTTCTGCTTCTGCCTCAGGGTTGTTCCACCATGCGAAGTCGCTGCTGAGTGGCAGAATGTCACAGCGAGCGACCTCTATACTTGCATTTACCGTGGCAGTCAGTGGGACGAACAACTGGCGGGTATAGAACACGTCAGGTAAGCCCTCCTGCGAGGATCCAATACACGAGTAGTCGATCTGCACGGTGGTGTCCTGTAGACCTGGTTTTCCAACAACATCGATGGTGAATGTGGCACTTTGGCCTGCTGGAATGGAGTGGTCCTCAGGATTTAAACCTTGTCGGCGCCACCGCAACGCTGGCCTGGTTAAGTTCAGCTCCAGCTCGTAAATTTCGACGGGTAGTAAATCCTTATTGCTCAGGGCCGACTGCACTTGTCTTGTTGTCGAATCCTGGAAGGTAAAGAGGATGAAATCAAGAGGACATGGCGACGTGTTCCGTAGTGTGATGGTGAAGGAGCTCAACTCACCCTCCAGCACCATCAGCGCGGACTGTGACAGGGACAATGACTCAATCACCAATGAGGGCTGTTGGCCAATGACCTTGACCTCGCACACCGATGTGTCAGGGCCTTTCTTGGGAAGTTGTTTGCCATTTCTTGAGGTTGTTGAGCTCCACGAGAGTGGGCGCTCCACAGAAGGCCTCTTGGCCGCAAGTCCAGTGCGCTTGAATTTCCATTCGGCTTCGGGCTTCCAGGGACTCTGGAATATCGGAAACCTGCGCTCTCTGCAGTGTCGGACCTTCACTATGCAGCCAGTAACCTTGAGCGCCCCCTCTCCAGTGGCTTTGCCATAGACTGTGATGTCTTGCAAGCATAGCGGAGGAATCAGGATCCATTCGGCCACGGCTTCTAGAGGCACACCGTCGCTGTCGAGAGTGAGTCTTTCGATCTCCAAATCAAACTCATAAGGGTTCTGAAGTGTGACTTGGAATGCCGCGTATTCACCAGCAACCATCAAGGATTCAGCAGCCTTATTACTTGCTTTAGAGAAAGGATTATATAAAAAAGGATCCTTTGCGGACTTTTCGCGATCAGCTGTAACGGCATCCAAATCAGGCTTTGAGCGGCGAACGGGTCGTCTGGGATCTGGAAGAGATAGCAATTGAACACCACGGATGAGAAAATCATCCCAGTACTCTGCCTCAAGTCCCGAGGCGCCCAGTTTATTGGCTGCGCCGACAGTCCGTTTGATGTTATTCAAAAGTCTGATCTGTTCGTCGCGAGGTAGGTACGGTGGCTGGTAGTTAGATCCGAGCATCAGGTCTCCTCTGATGGTCTGCAGAAGTTCTACTGTGAAACGAAGGACGCCGATAAAATCAGGGAGCGCTTCGCAAGAACTAATGCACGCTTTGAGAACATCAATCTTCAGGTTGAGATCACCGTAGCCATCCAGAACGGCGTGCCTAAAAGCCCGTTCAACAATAGCAGTGATCGAATCATAGTCGGGCAAGGCATCTTGGCCACTCGCAGTGGAAGATCGTCTCTTCTCCCATTCGTAGAATGAAGATGGTTGGACACCATAGATATCACCTATAGTAGCAAGGAGCGAGCGCATGCTCTCCTCCATGTTCCCTGGCCCCAGATCAAGGGCATTGATATCAAATGCCGTGTCGCTGAGAGATGCCAGGCCAGCAGCAGGATGAACCCCCACTTCTGCTGCGCCAATCTTCCGGGCCTGGACAAGCGTCGGAACCATTATGGATAAAAGCTCTCTTAGGATAAAGGCCTTCTTCCGAGGTAGGTCAAGGACGTTCAGGACAGAGACTACGCCAACGATAATAGGTATGGCGTCCGTTGCGGGCAGGTCTGAGCCAGGAGAAAGAGGCAGGGCGCGGAAAAGGAAATTACCAATGTCGGATTTTCGAAGGATGTTGAGACCACGAGGCCGTTCTGGTCGGTGCAAAGGTGGAAGGGACTCATTCATAACTATATGCTTCAGGGCAACGTCATCCAAGGCACCGTCGCGAATACGAGCCGCTGCTAATAACCTTGCCAAACGAATAACTGTTTCGGAGTAAACAAGTTGAGGCAGAGGTTCATCCGTAATGTTGGCGGCACGGTTATAGAGATTCAGAATATTGTTCGCAAGGTCAGGCAATAGGTTGGAGAGGTTCTGAAGCGAGATAATACGGTTCCCAGGAGATGACAGACTCGTGTCAAGGCTACTGCTATATGACAACTTTGAGGATTTGTCGGCGACAGGGTAGCAAACGGGAGGGATCTGCCACCAGTTAGTCATATCCAACCGACCTTGTGCACCAGATGATACGTACCTGAAAGTCCATTCCAGCCCACGCGACCATTAATAGACAAAGAAGAATGGACTCAAGCGCTTTCGCATGCCATACGTAGTCACTGCTTGCTCTAGCACTAGACGCAGCTTCAACGAGTTCTTTCAAAGCATCTGGCCATCTTCCGGCTAGAAGGAACAGGTTCCCAACAACAACACCTGAGCGACCCTTGATGCGATTCTTGGTCCGATCAGTCGCGCTCATGCCGCTCACAGATAGACGGTCCCGGCTATGCTCCTTAGACGATGGCAACGAATGTATTTTGCCCAGTGAGTTGGAACGATTGGCCAATTGTATCGATCGGGTGATCTCATCAAAGGTTGTAGGAGTCTCATGGTCGCTAGGAGCAGGCGATCCCTGTTTGGAGCTCAAGGGAGATTCGGGTGCGCCATTTGGGTTGGATGGGAGATGTGTAGGCAGGGTCATCCGGTGAAATAGCCTATCTGTCGGTCGCGGGCGGATGTCAGGGCCGCGATGGGGCCCCCAGGATGACGCCTTCGGTGACTCGATGGAAGGTATACTTTGAATAGTCTTCGCAAACTCGTCTAGCTCCGAAAGCAGGAGAGATGTAATATCACACAGGACTGTTTTCATTGTAGTGGCCTTCGACGCCTGAGGTCGTGGGATCCAGAGGACGTCCCCTGGGCCGTTTGTGAGCTTATTCACCCCTTCATAGTCGAAGATAAGGAGCTGATGTACTAGCGCTCTCGGATTGCTCTCCTTGAGTGTTTCGAGTTCCTGCCGAAGTTGCTCCAACTCGCCCGGCGTGGGCGGTTGATCTGCCGCAGACGCCGGTTCACTCTTCTTCACATTTTCGCCAAGTTCTGCACCGTCTGCGATTGCAATAATAACTAGAGGCTCTCGGTATATCTCGAAAGGGAAGAGGTCTAAGTGAGATGTTGGAGGCACGGAGTAGGACAAGTCGTAAAGTATCATGCCAGTAGGGAAGGCGAGCGGGGAGAACATGTCTATGTCGAGAATCAGTCAATCACTGTACCCATTATGTCGGAAACAAGTCTCTCCTGCTGCGGACATGGGGTACTGAGTGCTAGCATACTTCGATTGGGTCGCGCATCAGGACTGATATCGCCCAAGCGGACAACATTTTCGGCTTGAAGCCTTGCGGCAAAGCTCAAGAATCTCGAGCGCTTTATCTTGCCAATGGGTAGCAGCAGTGCCCGTAAGCGCACGGGCGCAATAGGGGAGAGGGGGTCGACACCCATCGTATCATCTGCGACTGAACGGAGGGGGAGCAGTCGGCGAGTTGCTCAGAACTGCTTCCAAAAGGGCGGGCAAGCTTCCGGAGGTCATACGAAGCGCTAACACAAGCAACAGACGTAGTAGTGAACACGGGCGAATGAGCAATGCACAGATTCCACTCGCGATTCTCGTTAAAGTTCGATAAACAGGGCCGTGACCTCTGGTCACCTGGACCACGTAGAGAGAAACAACTCCCACAAGAAGATCTAAAAGCAAAGAACGACAGAAAGTAGCAACGCGGAGTGGATAGATCGCGGCATCGGGCGTACCTGTCGACCGCCGTATCCCCAAGTAAACCCAAGGAAACCCCCCGATGTCACGGGGGGGCCCTGATGACATAAGCGTTGCATATCTGATAAGCCCGATAACTTTAACTCCGCGCTGTCTCCGGCCAGTCACTCGCCATCGCCTCTGCCTCCGTTATTCTCTCGCGCTTTCTTTCTCGCTCTTCTCTCATCTCCTCGTGCTCTCGCTCTCCTAGGCAGACCTATCCTCTAACACCCTGTCTTTTTGTTGTAGCTTTTGGTCTTCTGTCTTGGT